TGCCATTCTCTGGTCTAAAGTAGTGCACTATATAGGGAATAGGGTGCCATTCTCTGGTCTAAAGTAGTGCACTATATAGGGAATAGGGTGCCATTCTCTGGTCTAAAGTAGTGCACTATATAGGGAATAGGGTGCCATTCTCTGGTCTAAAGTAGTGCACTATATAGGGAATAGGGTGCCATTCTCTGGTCTAAAGTAGTGCACTATATATGGAATAGGGTGCCATTCTCTGGTCTAAAGTAGTGCACTATATAGGGAATAGGGTGCCATTCTCTGGTCTAAAGTAGTGCACTATATAGGGAATAGGGTGCCATTCTCTGGTCTAAAGTAGTGCACTATATAGGGAATAGGGTGCCATTCTCTGGTCTAAAGTAGTGCACTATATAGGGAATAGGGTTCCATTCTCTGGTCAAAAGTAGTGCACTATATAGGGAATAGGGTGACAATTGGGACGCAGTCCAATATCTTATCTTCCAATCTGACATACAATACATCTTCCTTCAGTCCGAATCCGACTAATGCATGATTTAAGAATAAATAAATAACTTAAATCAAACCTTTTAAACCGCCATACTTCTGTGATTAGGAAAAATGGGCAGAGTTGAACTTATTTTCTTTCAGGTTTTTCCAAAATGGAGGATTATTGATCAATCAAAAAGATGGATTTTGAAACTGTGGATCTATTCCAAATAAATGCACTCTCAGTCAAGAGCTTACAGAAGGGTTTATATTGAGGCAACAGAGCTAAAAAAATTACAAAAAAACTTGTTTGTGCACATGGACCACACTAGAAGTTTAGTCGTTACATAATCTGGAGTGATTTTCAACCATTTCCTTAGAAACAAAACGGTAACAGAAAACAACATGAAAAGTGAAAAGCAAAGGGCTGCTTTTAAGTATATATTTTTTAAAGTCACACAAGGCATCAGAGAAGAAGAGTTAGTCTATGTATAGCCTATAGTGAGAAGAGAAGGGGTGAGGAGGGAGGGAGAAGGGGTGAGGGAGGGAGGGAGAAAGGGTGGGATGTAAGGGGAGGGCGGGAGTGGAATAAGAGGGGTGCCTTTTTAAGTTTTAAGGCGTTAAATTTGGGGTGCTCATGGAAGGTTCTTCTTTTTCTTGCTGGGGTTCCTCCTCGTTTCCTTCGTTTTTCCCTTTTTCGCCCCCCCTTTTTTTGGTGTGCCTTTTCTTTGTTTTCCCTTTTTCCCTCCTGTTTCTTGGCCTTTCCCCCTGGGTTCCCTTCCCCCGTTTTTTTTTCGTCGTTCCCGGGTTTGGGGTCCGGTTGGCGGGTGCGGGGGCGCCCGGGTTCGGGGTGCCCGCGGGTCCGCGGTCTCTTTCCCTCCCTTTTTTTGTTCTCTCCTTGCGGGTGGTTGCGGGTCCCCCCGGTTTTTTTCCCCTCCGGCTTTCCCTTTTTTCCGGGTTGGTCCTTTGGGCGTGGACTTTTTCTTCGGGTTCTTTTCCCCCGTTGTTCGATTTTTTCCCTTTTTTGTTTCGCCCCCGGGGTTTGTTCTTTCCCCCCCCTTTTTCCCGGGTGTCCCTCCCGCCCGGTCGGGGTTTCTTGGCCAAATTTGTTTGGAAAGTTAAAGGGGGATTGATCCTGGATTGGGGGTTTTAACTTCACCATCCGCTTATTTTCCCTCCCCCATTGGCACCCTTCCCTCACATTTTTTTAAAATTTCCCAAATTTCAGAATTATATTATAATAATATATATATAGTGCCCCTTCTCTTAATCACCCTTTAATTTTTGTTTTTATTTTTAGTTGTTACTGTTATTTCTGATGTCATTTAAAATCACTTCGCTTTAGCAACAGCGGCTTTGTAATTCATGCTAATAAGCTTTTCTAACTGAATGACAAGAGAGACAGAGGGGAACAGAGACACGGAGAGAGAAGCAAGGGAAAACGGAAGAGACAGAGAAGAAGAAGAGAAAGAGCAAGAAAACCCGGAACGGACAAGAGGGGGGGAAAGAGGGAGGGGGGGGAAACAAAAAAGGAAAAAACAAAACCCCAAAGGGGGGAAAATTTTGAAATTTAAAAGGGTAAAAACGGGAGTAAAGGGAGAAAGGGGAGGAGGGAATAGAGGGGGGAAGAAGGGGGAAGGGAAGGGGGTTAGAGAGGGGAAAAGGAGGGGAGAGGAAAGGGGGGGAGGGGGGGGTTTTTTTTGGGTTTTTTTCTTTTAAAAAAATTTGAGAGAATAGATGGGAAAACAGAAGAGAAAAAGAGAGACAAAAAACCAAAGGGAAAGAAACAAGAACAAAGGGGGGTAGAAGAAGGGGAAAGAGGTTTAAAAATTTTATGGGGGGAGAAGAAAGATAGAAGAAGAGGGGTTTGGGAGAAGAAACAAAGAAAAAAGGGCAAGAGAGAAACCAACAGGAAAATAAGAAAACAAAAAAGGGGGGGAAAGTTTTTTTTTTTTTTGGTTTTTTTTTTTTCCCGGCCCCCAAAAAATTTTTTTTTTTTTTTTGGGGGGGGAAAATAGATACTGTTATATAGTGAAATTTCTTCTCCACGCTCTCTCTGCCACATTCTCTTCTCGCCCTCTCTCTATTTTTCTCTCTCTCCCCTTTTCCTCTTTTTCTTTCTCCTTTCTTTTTCCTCTTTTTCCTATTCCCCTTTTTTCTCCCCTCCTCCCCCTCCATACAGAGCAACGATTCCAAGTTCAGAGACGAGTCCAGCTGAGTAGCCTCCCACTCTGTGAGGTGTTTCGACAACCCAGCTCCCCCTGTCCTCCCTCCTGGTGCTGCTAGGTAACTTTCCGTGCCCTTTTGTCTTCTGTTTTTGGTTTCCCTGTGTCAATAGCACCCCTCGTCCCTTACAGCAGCTAATAACTACAACGCCTGGATACCTGCGAGGTGGACAGAGAGACAGGCAAGGTTGAGGAGTTTCCTCTTTTATGCGGACAGATCCAGGCGTTGGTTTCATCTAGACGGACGACCATGCAGGTTGGAGTTTCAGGGTCCACTCCGCGTTGGGATTTTCTCTCCACAGGCAGGTTGAGAGTTTCAGTAGGACGGCAGACAAAGCAGGTTTAAAGTTTCATAGGAGCGGACAGACAGGCAGGTTGAGGAGTTTTCAGGAGGAGCGGACAGACAGGCAGGTTGAGATTTTTCAGTAGGAGCAGACAGACAGGCAGGTTGAGGAGTTTCAGTAGGAGCGGACGACAGGCAGGTTTGAGGAGTTTCAGTAGGAGCGGACAGACAGGCAGGTTGAGGAAGTTATTCAGTAGGAGCGGACAACAGGCAGGTTGAGGAGTTTCAGTAGGAGCGGACAGGACAGTCAGGTTGAGGAGTTTCAGGAGGAGCGGACAGACAGGCAGGTTGAGGAGTTTCAGTAGGGCGGACAGACAGGCAGGTTTGAGGAGTTTTCAGGAGGAGCGGACAGACAGGCAGGTTGAGGAGTTTCCAAGTAGGAGCGGACAGACAGCAGGTTGAGGAGTTTCAGAGGAGCGGACAGACGGCAGGTTGTAGGAGTTTCAGTAGGAGCGGACAGACATGCAGGTTGAGGAGTTTCAGTAGGAGCGGACAGACAGGCAGGTTGAGGAGTTTCAGGAGGAGCGGACAGACAGGCAGGTTGAGGAGTTCAGTAGGAGCGACAGACGGCAGAGGTTGAGGATTTCAGTAGGAGCGGAACAGACAGGCAGGTTGAGGAGTTTCAGGAGGAGCAGACAGACAGGCAGGTTGAGGAGTTTTCAGTAGGAGCGGACAGACAGGCAGGTTGAGGAGTTTAGGAGGAGCGGACAGGACAGGCAGGTTGAGGAGTTTCCAGTAGGAGCGGACAGACAGGCAGGTTGAGGAGTTTCAGTAGGAGCGGACCGACAGGCAGGTTGAGAGTTCAGTAGGAGCGGACAGACAGGCAAGGTTGAGGAGTTTCAAAGGAGGAGGCAGACAGACAGGCAGGTTGAGGAGTTTCTAGGGAGCGGACAGACAGGCAGGTTGAGGAGTTTCAGTAGGAGCGGACAGACAGCAGGTTGAGGAGTTTCAGGAGGAGCGGACAGACAGGCAGGTTGAGGAGTTTCAGTAGGAGCGGACAGACAGGCAGGTTGAGGAGTTTCAGTAGGAGCGGACAGACAGGCAGGTTGAGGAGTTTCAGGAGGAGCGGACAGACAGGCAGGTTGAGGAGTTTCAGTAGGAGCGGACAGACAGGCAGGTTGAGGAGTTTCAGGAGGAGCGGACAGACAGGCAGGTTGAGGAGTTTCAGTAGGAGCGGACAGACAGGCAGGTTGAGGAGTTTCAGTAGGAGCGGACAGACAGGCAGGTTGAGGAGTTTCAGGAGGAGCGGACAGACAGGCAGGTTGAGGAGTTTCAGTAGGAGCGGACAGACAGGCAGTTGAGGAGTTTCAGTAGGAGCGGACAGACAGGCAGGTTGAGGAGTTTTCAGGAGGAGCAGACAGACAGGCAGGTTGAGATTTCAGTAGGAGCGGACAGACAGGCAGGTTGAGGAGTTTCAGGAGGAGCGGACAGACAGGCAGGTTGAGGAGTTTCAGTAGGAGCGGACAGACAGGCAGGTTGAGGAGTTTCAGTAGGAGCGGACAGACAGGCAGGTTGAGGAGTTTCAGTAGGAGCGGACAGACAGGCGGGTTGAGGAGTTTAGGAGGAGCGACGACGGGCAGGTTGAGGAGTTTCGTGGGAGCGGACAGACACGGGTTTGGGAGGTTATGGGAGCGGCAACAGGCAGGTTGAGGATTTTTGGGGGGGGGCAGACAGCGGCGGGTTTTGGGGGTTTTCGTAGGAGGGGAAAACAGGCAGGTGAGGATTTTTCAGGAGGAGCGGACGCAGGCAGGTTTTGGGTTTTTTCGTGGGAAACCACATAAAGAGTTTTTTAATTTTAAAAATTTACATCAGGTTATTCACTTATTAAGAATGTATTACCTAGTTGTAGATGTTTATAATAAAGCATTAATGTTAGTACTAAAAGGGGATTGGGTAAATACATCAAATGTCTTGGCGATTCAGGTAAACAAAGTAACACTCAACCAGTCTTATCAACAACAACAACAGTCTTACCTGTTCCCTATCTTCTTCTTACAGACCCTGCAGGTCTTCTCCTCCGAGATGGTACACTTGACCTGCTGGTGGAAGATACGCTCCTCCTGGACCTGAACACACACACACACACACACAGACACAGATAGACACACACACACACACACACACACACACGTCAGGTGAGTAGAGACGACACACACACACCGTCTCTCTCTCTCACCCATAAGAACTCTTGAGCAGCTGGCCAAATAGTTTCCTCAGCCTTACACCCCCCCTGAGCTCACCCGTAGGAACTCGGCCTGCAGCAGACTCTTGAGCACCTGGTCAAAGCGTTTCCTCTGAGCCTTCTCCTCCAGAACACTCTCCAAGAACACACGGATCTCTCTGATCTGAGTGTTGGCTGGCAGCAGGTTGATGGTCTGGTGGGGAGCAGAGACAGAGATGGTAGATACAGTGGGGATTGAAATTATTAGGAGCAATAATAATAATAATAATAATAATAATAATAATAATAATAATAATAATAATATGCCATTTAGCAGACGCTTTTATCCAAAGCGACTTACAGTCATGCGTGCATACATTTTTGTGTATGGGTGGTCCCGGGGATCGAACCCACTACCTTGGCGTTTCAAGCGCCGTGCTCTACCAGCTGAGCTACAGAGGACCACATAATGACTGTATAAAATAAATAATACAAATACTGATATCTATATTGTATGCTCAAAATTATTGGGATATTATTTTGTTTAATAAGTAACTTTTTTTCTCTCAAAAAAGATAGGGGTCAAAATTACTGACACCCCCTTTTTTCAATAACGGCACTGAGCTTTTTTGACACATTGGGGTGTCAAAATGTCCTGGTACTGGGTAAAGTTCATGATGCCGTTGACCTTAACAAGGCCCCAGGACCAGTGGAAAGCAAAATAGCCCCATAACATCAAAGATCCACCAGCATAATTTACAGTAGGTATGGGGTCATTTCCTGGTGGGTGTGGCCAAAGAGCTCTATGTTCATGTCATCTGACCAAAGGTTCCAATCCAAGTGCCAACGCCGTTTATCAAACTCCAGGCGGTTACATTTGTTGGATGACATGAACATAGAGCTCTTTGGCTACGCACACCAGTGGTGGGTTTGGTGTCGAACTGAGACAAACAAGCAAATGACATATCTGTGCCCCGTGAGAATAGACAATTTACATCTTCTTCTTCTCCTTCTTCATAAAAGCAGAACGACCACAGGGGATCAATTTCTGATCTTTCAAGCTGGAGTATGAGAAGAAAAAAATCTTAACATTCTCCTCCCCTCTCTGGAACATGTTATGTTTACTGTAGAGGCGAGAAACTGGTGTGTCTTACTGATAGGGGGGGCGATACTTGTGTCGTCTTTACTGGTAGGGGGAGATACTGTTGGGTTTACTGTAGAGGGAGAAACTGTGTGTTTACTGTAGGGGGGGTGTTAATGGGGGGATACTGTTGGTTTAAATGTAGGGGAGAAACTGTGGTTACTGAGGGGGATACTGGGGTTTACTGTAGGGGGAGATACTGTGTGTTACTGTAGGGGGATTGTGTGTTTATGAGGGGGAGATACTGTGGTTATGGGGGGAGATACTTGTGTTTTTTTCGTAGGGGGAGAACTGTGGTTATGTGGGGGAGATACGTGTGTTTAGAGGGGGGGGATACTGTTGTTAGTAGGGGGGTATGTGTGTTATGAGGGGGAGATACGGGTTTGTAGGGGGGAGTTGTTTTTTTCTGGGGGTATTTTGGTTTTGTAGGGGGAATGTGTGTTTATGTGGGGAGATACTGGTGTGTTACTGTAGGGGGGAGATACGGGTTACTGAGGGGAGATACTGTGTGGTTTACTGTAGGGGAGATACTGTGTGTGTTTACTGTAGGGGGGATACTGGTGTTTAGTAGGGGGAGTACTGGTGGTTACTGTGGGGGAGATACGGTGTGTTATGTAGGGGGAGATTGTGTGTTTACTGTAGGGGAGATATGTTGGTTACTAGGGAGATACTGTGTGTGTTTATGTAGGGAGGAGATCTGTGGTGTTTCGTAGGGGAGATAACTGTGTTTTACTGTAGGGGAGTTATTTTGTGTTTTTTTACTGTAGGGGAGATACGTGGGTGTTTACGTTAGGAGGAGGAGACTGTTGTGTTAATGTAGGGGAGATCTTTGTGTGTTTACGTGGGGGAATACTGTGGTTTACTGTAGGGGGAGAACTGTGTGTTTACTGTAGGGGGAGATTACTGGGGTGTTTACTGTAGGGGGGAGATACTGTGGTTTTTACTGTAGGAGGGGGAACTGTGTGTTTACTGTAGGGGAGATACTGTGTGTTTACGTGTAGGGGGAGATACTGTGGTTTACTGTAGGGGAGATACTGTTTTGGTTTACTGTAGGGGAGAATTGTGTGTTACTGTAGGGGGAGTTTACTGTGTGTGTTTACTGTAGGGGGATTACTGTGTGTTTACTGGTAGGGGAGATACTGTGTGTTACTGTAGGGGGAGATATGGTGTGTTTATGTAGGGGGAGATATGTGTGTTTACTGTAGGGGGGAGTTTACGGGTGTGTTTACTGTAGGGGGAGATACTGTGTTTTTTATGTAGGGGAGAGTACTGTGTGTTTACTGTAGGGGAGATACTGTGTGTTTACTGTAAGGGGGAGATACTTGTGTGTTTACTGTCGGGGGAGATACTGTGTTTTTACTGTAGGGGAGATACTGGGGTGTTATGTAGGGGGAGATATGTTGTGGTTTACTGTGGGGGGAGATACTGTGTGTGTTTATGTAGGGGGATTACGTGTTGTTTACTGTAGGGGGAGAGTGTGTTACGTGGGGAGAAAACTGTGTGTTTACTGTAGGGGGAGATTACTGGGTGTTTACTGTAGGGGGAAAATACTGTGTGTGTTTACTGTAGGGGAGATATTTGGGGTTGGTTTTACTGAGGGGGAGATACTGTTGTGTTTACGGGAGGGGAGATACTGTGTGTTACGTGGGGGAGTACTGTGGGGTTTACTGTAGGAGGAGATACTGTTTTGTTTACTGTAGGGGGAGATACTGTGTGTGTTGTAGGAGGAGATATGTGTGTTTACTGTGGGGGGAAGATACGTGTGTGTTTACTGTAGGGGGGAGATACTGTGGTGTGTTTACTGTAGGGGAGATACTGTGGTGTTACTGGTAGGGGGAGATTCTGTGTGTGTTTACTGTAGGGGGAGGATACTTTTGTGTTTACTGTAGGGGGAGATACTGTGGGTTTACGTAGGAGGAGACACTGGGGTTTTACTGTAGGGGAGAACTGTGTTTTTACTGTAGGGGGAGATACTGTGGTTACTGTAGGGGGAGATAGTGTTTTTTAACTGTAGGAGGAGACACTGTGTGTTTACTGTAGGGGGAGATCGGGTGTTTTTTCTGTGGGGGGGGAAGATACTGTGGTGTTTACTGTAGGGGGAGATACTGTGTGTGTTTACTGTAGGGAGAGATACTGTGTGTTTACTGTAGGGGGAGATACTGTGTGTTTACTGTAGGGGGAGATACTGTGTGTTTACTGTAGGGGGGATACTGTGTGGTTTACTGTAGGGAGAGATACGGTGGTTTACTGTGGGGAGTTTACGTGTGTGTGTTTACTGTAGGGAGAGTTTACTGTTTTGTTTACTGTAGGGGGAGATACTGTGTGTTTACTGTAGGGGGAAAATACTGTGCGTTTACTGTAGGAGGAGATACGTGTGTGTTTACTGTAGGGGGAGATACCTGTGTGTGTTTACTGTAGGAGGAGATACGTGTGTGTTTACTGTAGGGGGAGATACTGTGTGTTTACTGTAGGGGGAGATACGTGTGTTACTGTAGGGGGAGTATACTGTGTGTTTACTTGAGGGGGAGATACGTGTGGTGTTTACTGTAGGAGGAGATACTGTGTGTGTTACGGTAGGAGGAGATACTGTTTGTGTTACTGTAGGGGGAGATAACTGTGTGTTACTGTAGGGGAGGGTTTAATGTGTTTACTGTAGGGGGAGATACTGTGTGGTTTACTGTAGGGGGAGATTACTGTGTGTTTACTGTAGGGGAGATACTGTGTGTTTACTGTAGGGGAGATTACTGTGTGTTTACTGTAGGGGGACGATACTGTGTCGTTTACTGTAGGGGGAGGACTGTGTGTTTACTGTAGGGGGAGATACTGTGGTGTTTACTGTAGGGGGAGATACTGGTGTTTACTGTAGGAGGAGATACTGTGTGTGTTTACTGTAGGGGGAGATACTGTGCGTTTACTGTAGGGGGAGATACTGTGTGTGTTTACTGTAGGGGGAGATACTGTGTGTTTACTGTAGGGGGAGATACTGTGTGTTTACTGTAGGGGGAGATACTGTGTGTTTACTGTAGGGGGAGATACTGTGTGTGTTTACTGTAGGAGGAGATACTGTTGTGTTTTACTGTAGGGGAGATTACTGTGGGTGTTTACTGTAGGGGGAGTACTGTGTGTTTACTGTAGGGGGAGGTACTGTGTGTTTACTGTAGGGGGAGATACTGTGTGTGTTTACTGTAGAGGGAGATACTGTGTGTTTACTGTAGGAGGAGATACTGTGTGTGTTTACTGTAGGGGGAGATACTGTGCGTTTACTGTAGGGGGAGATACTGTGTGTGTTTACTGTAGGGGGAGATACTGTGTGTGTTTACTGTAGGGGGAGAGATTACTGTGTGTGTTTACTGTAGGGGGAGATACTGTGTGTTTACTGTAGGAGGAGATACTGTGTGTGTTTACTGTAGGAGGAGATACTGTGTGTGTTTACTGTAGGGGGAGATACTGTGTGTTTACTGTAGGGGGAGATACTGTGTGTTTACGTAGGGGGAGCTTGAGGTACTGTGTGTTTACTGTAGGGGGAGATACTGTGGTGTTACTGTAGAGGGAGATTACTGGTGTTTACTGTAGGAGGAGATACTGTGTGGTGTTAGGTAGGGGGAGATGACTGTGCGTTTACTGTAGGGGGAGATACTGTGTGGTTTACTGTAGGGGGAGATACTGGTGCGTGTAATGTAGGGGGAGATACTGGGTGTTTACTGTAGGGGGAGATACGGGTGTGTTACTGTAGGGGGAGATACTGTGTTGTTTTACTGTAGGGGGAGGAATACTGTGCGTTTATGTAGGGGGAGATACGGGTTTGTGTTACTGTAGGGGGAGATACTGAACACCCCAAGATTTTCAAACAATTGTCTGCCAAACTCCCAGACTGTCAGTTACAGATGTGAAAGGGTTTAGGGTCTGAGAGGGAAGGTTATGTCCTGGAGGGGAAGATTGTGGGAGTAACAACGCATTAGTCACATCAGTGGAGAGGAGAGAGGAGGAGGAGAGGGAGGGAGAGGAAGGAGGGAGAGGAGAGAGGAGGAGAGGAAAGAGGAGGGAGGGAGAGGAGAGAGGAGGGAGGAAAGAGGAGGGGGAGGAGAGAGGAGAGGGGGAGAGGAAGAGGGAGAGAGGAGGGGAGGAGAAGGAGAGACGGGAATAGAAAGGTAGGGGGGAAAGGGAAGAGGGGGACGGATTTGTGAGGGGAGGAGGAGGGAGAAGGGGGAGGGAAAACGAGAGAGGGAACGAGAGGAGAGGAGGAGAGAGGAGGAGAGGAGGAGAAGGAGGAGAGGGCGGAGGACCGGGGAAGAGGGAGGAGGAGAGGAGAAGGGAGAAGGAAAGAGGAGGGAGGATGAGGGGGAGGGAAGGGAAGAGAGAGGAGGAAAGAAAGGAGGGAGAGGAGAGAGGAGAGAGAGGAGAGCAGGCCAGAGGGAAAAGGGAGGGGGAGGAGAGGAGGAGGAGAGGAGAGGAGAGGAAGAGAGGGAGAGGGGGACAAGGAGAGGATCCGTAGGAGAGGAAGGAGAGGAGAGGAGGGAGAGGAGAGGAGAGGAGGAGGAGAGGAGAGGAGAGGAGAGGGGGAGGAGAGGAGAGGGGAGGGAGAGGAGGAGAGAGGGAGATGTCTGTGGACAGTGGGGTTCAGTAACATTGTGAACAGCTGGAGCCCAGCGTTTCTGATTCTGCAGCTCCATTTTCAGGTAGGCTAATTCTCTTCTGTCTCTTCTCTATCTCCCTCCCCTCTAGTTAAATAAATTTATAATTTTTAAATTTGGCCCATTGCAGCCGCTTTTATCCAAAGCGATTTACAGTCTTTGTGTCATACTTTTTCGTATGGTGGGTCCCAGGGATTCGAACCCACTACCTGGGGGGACAAGCGCAGGGGAGAAAAAGGGAAAGGAAGAAAAAAAAAAAAAAAAAAAAAAAAAACCCCCCCCCGGGGGGGGGGGGTTTTTAAAAAGAAAAAAATCTGTTCTTTTCCCTCCCCCCCCTCTCGGGTTTCCCCTCCCTCCCTCCCCCTTCCCCCTCTCCCCCCCCCCCCCCCCCCCCGGGGGAGAGTGGTATGAGGGGAGAAGGTGATGAGAGATCAAAAGTGAGAGTAGACAACGAAGGGAAGAGCGGATGAAATGGAGTCGAATCATCAGTGGAGAGGAGAGAGGAGGAGGAAGAGGAAGGGAGGGAGGAGGAAAGGTAGAGAGGATGAGGCGAGAGAGGAGAGGGAGGAGAGGAGGTAGGGCAGAGGATAGAGGAGAGCAGAACGAGGAGTTGAGGGCAGTGATAGAGTGCGTGATGATCTGAGAGGCTGTAGAATGGAGAGATCGGAGTAGACCTATATGTCCTGTCTCGCTTCGGGTCGTCCTTCTCTATCACTTACGCCCCCGCTGCTTTCTTATCTCGCTTCTTTCGGCTGCTATCCTCTTCCTCATCTCGTTGCGTCTTCTCCCTCTGCTGTCTTACGCTCTTCCTCTTCGGCTCTCTACGTTCTTCTAGCGTTCGTCTGGCGCTTCTTTCGCGTGCTCATCACTCTTCTCTTCCTTGTATCGTGTATCGGGTTCTCCGTCTCGGTCTCCTTCCGTATAGGAGGGACTAGAGGCGGATTGATAGGAGTAGTTTGAATAGTGACGTGGTGTTCTAGTACCCCATTTGTACAGCATGAGCCCGCGATTTTCTGATTCTGTACAGCATCCCTTCAGGCGTAGGCTAATTCTCTCTCTGTTCTCTCTACTCCCTCCCTCTGTTAATATATATAATTAATGCTTTGCATACGCTTTCTCCAACGACTACATTCATGTGTTGCATACATTTTACGTATGGGTGTCCCGGGATCGAACCCACTCCCTGGCGTTACACGCCGTGCTCTACCAATTGAGCTACTGAGGACCAGCTCTGTTCTCTCCCTCCCTCCCTCTGTTCTCTCTGTGCTCTCTCCCTCCCTCCCTCTCTCTGTGCTCTCTCCCTCCCTCCCTCTCTCTGTGCTCCCTCCCTCCCTCCCTCTCTCTCTCTCTGTGCTCCCCTCCCTCCCTCCCTCTCTCTCTCTGTGCTCCCTCCCTCTCTCCCTCTCTTTTTGCTCCCTCCCTCCCCCCCTCTCTCTTTCTCCCTCCCTCCCCTCCCTCTCTCTCTCTGTGCTCCCTCCCTCTCTCCCGCTCTCTTTCTCCTCCCTCCCTCCCTCTCTCTGTTGCTCCCTCCCTCCCTCCCTCTTCTCTCCCTCCCTCCCTCTGTTCTCTCCCTCCCTCCCTCTGTTCTCTCTGTGCTCCCTCCCTCTGTTCTCTCTGTGCTCCCTCCCTCCCTCTCTCTGTGCTCTCTCTCTCTCTCTTTGCTGGGAGCTGAGCCAGGGGAAATGAAAGCAGAGCCACATTAAAACTCAATATGGGAGAGCAGAGAGCAGCTCCACTGTACAGGTTATAGAAACCTGTTCATAAACCCACAATTCAGAGCCCAGAATCTCTCTGATCACTGGTGCTGCCCAACACCACATACATACAGTGACAGACAGCCTTCTCCTTACCTTGGTGGCAAAGATCTTTATAACTAAACCAAGACAGACAACAGCCTGTCGTTTCCAATGGGAACAAATGAGCCATAGTGGGCAGAAGAAGCAAGGAGGGGGGCAGAGCCAAGCACGAGCTAGCGAGATCCTATTGGCGCGTTCTAGCATCCTGAGCATTTTTCCGTTAGGGAACGCCTAATCTGTGAAGTGTGCGTGTGCAATAAATCAATTCACCTTTGCACTCCTTCTAAACAACGCAATTTTTTAAAAACTATGGCAAAGGGTAAAGTTTACAAACCGTAGTCCACTCTGTTCATAACATATTCTAGTTTTGGGAACAGAGAACTGTATTGAGATCAAATGTTTCATCGATAAGAACATTTGCAGAATGTCAGCCAAAATCCATCTCGTTCCATATTTGGTAGCGAGTGGAAACGCAAAGCGAATGCTTCACATTTAAACATCCAGTGAAATATCTGTCTCATTGTTCCACCTGTGTTGGCGGTATTCAGCTGGCTGTGGTGCAGCCTACCTTGGCGGTATTCAGCTGGCTGTGGTGCAGCCTACCTTAGTGGTATTCAGCTGGTTGTGGTGCAGCCTACCTTAGTGGTATTCAGATGGCTGTGGTGCACCCTACCTTAGTGGTATTCAGCTGGCTGTGGTGCAGCCTACCTTAGTGGTATTCAGCAGCCTACCTTAGTGGTATTCAGCTGGATGTGGTGCAGCCTACCTTCGTGGTATTCAGCTGGATGTGGTGCAGCCTACCTTGGTGGTATTCAGCTGGCTGTGGTGCAGCCTACCTTAGTGGTATTCAGCTGGATGTGGTGCAGCCTACCTTAGTGGTATTCAGCTGGCTGTGGTGCAGCCTACCTTAGTGGTATTCAGCTGGCTGTGGTGCAGCCTACCTTAGTGGTATTCAGCTGGCTGTGGTGCAGCTCCAGCACCTGTAGAGCAGCCTTTAGATTGGCCTGTGGCGCCGACAGCTCCATTTTGATTGGGCCAAGGCAGTGGACATCAGGAGGGGACAGGTACATGCGCAGCAGAGACAGGTAGACCTGTATAACAACAACATGGGGTTAAGAGACAGGTAGACCCTGTCCTAGAATAACACTGGATTACCAGATATAGAGGTTTACCATAGAGACAGGTAGACCCTGTCCTAGAATAACACTGGATTACCAGATATAGAGGTTTACCATAGAGACAGGTAGACCCTGTCCTAGAATAACACTGGATTACCAGATATAGAGGTTTACCATAGAGACAGGTAGACCCTGTACTAGAATAACACTGGATTACCAGATATAGAGGTTTACCATAGAGTTGCATGTAATACCTACTAGCTGTACAAGTTCAACGCGTGTCAATCAGAGGGAGTTACTCACATCTTTGTTTCTGTCTGTGTCTTGGTCATAATGCCGGTGACAGTACCTGAAGGGAGAGAAACAGAAAATGGCAGCATTATAAAATGACAATAATCTCAGCAAAGCATAGACAAGGCCTGGAGAGAAATTATAATATGTGGCGGATAATTTAAAAACATCTACGTTTCTTATTTGGAAAGAGGTTTTTTGAATCAGCATGTTATTGTTTCTGGCTGGTGGGTTGTTTTAGTGGGAGACAGGCTGCTGTCCTACTAACTAATTGATAGGGTTGTCAAATTCCTGCAACTTTCCCAAAATGCACAGGTTTTTTCCAGAAATCCCAGTTGGAAGATTCCCGGAACAGGAGGGAATAAGCAGAAAAGACGGAATCCTCAAAACAGGAATTCTGGGAACCCTAGGGATATTGGAAACCCTAGGGATATTGGGAACCCTAGGAATATTGGGAACCCTAGGGATATTGGAAACCCTAGGGATATTGGGAACCCTAGGGATATTGGGAACCCTAGGGATATTGGGAACCCTAGGGATATTGGGAACCCTAGGGATATTGGGAACCCTAGGAATATTGGGAACCCTAGGGATATTGGAAACCCTAGGGATATTGGGAACCCTAGGGATATTGGGAACCCTAGGGATATTGGAAACCCTAGGGATATTGGGAACCCTAGGGATATTGGGAACCCTAGGGATATTGGGAACCCTAGGGATATTGGAAACCCTAGGGATATTGGGAACACTAGGGATATTGGGAACACTAGGGATATTGGGAACCCTAGGGATATTGGGAACACTAGGGATATTGGGAACCCTAGGGATATTGGAAACCCTAGGAATATTGGGAACCCTAGGGATATTGGGAACACTAGGGATATTGGAAACCCTAGGAATATTGGGAACCCTAGGGATATTGGGAACACTAGGGATATTGGAAACCCTAGGGATATTGGGAACCCTAGGGATATTGGGAACACTAGGGATATTGGAAACCCTAGGAATATTGGGAACCCTAGGGATATTGGGAACCCTAGGGATATTGGGAACACTAGGGATATTGGGAACCCTAGGGATATTGGGAACACTAGGGATATTGGAAACCCTAGGGATATTGGGAACCCTAGGGATATTGGGAACCCTAGGGATATTGGGAACCCTAGGGATATTGGGAACCCTATATTAAAACACAGGGAAATCTGGATTCTGTCTGCACTGGGCCTTTAAAATACTTATTTAAATATTATTTAACAGGATAAAAACCATTTCTCAAAACTTCAAGAACATATGCAAACGTATATATTTTTTGCTTTGGTGTATTATCTGCTATAAACATCACTGAGCAGTCCTGTGTTATTGGGGCTTACGCGTTGGCATAACAACTGCCACTCCCTAGAAACAAAAAAAAGGAAACGTGGTCTCTAACTTTCATTCCCTCACCAGCAGCGTGAAGTTTTTTGTTTTGTTTATTTTCTTTGATATCTTTCTGATACTAAGCAAATGTTTTCAAGCCACCTTTCTAAAAACTGTTTGGTTCATAACAACTAAGTATTATACTTTCATTTGTAACGACAGACAACAGGGTTCAAATCTGGCAGTCCTCTAGTTTAACGCAGGAATGTAACCTCACATTCTGGTAAGCGCCTCAACTTTAAGATTATTATTTGACAAATCAAAGCTAAGGAGCTGTCGCATTGTGTGAATACTGTTGGCCTACGAACATCAAGGTAACACCTAAATGTTATTCATTCTTATAGGCTCCTTTAAAAAGCAACACTTGTCATCTGTTTTTCCCACTGTGGCCCCACGAGGAACTGCAATAGCAATAGTTGCAAACCACAACATAACAGTCCCTGAATCTAACGGTCTTTCTGCCGTTCCTCATATCCTATCTCCTACTCAATCGAGCCCGAGATCCCTGCCCTCTGACCTTCTCCAGTGTGTTTTTAGAGGAGGAGGCGAGGAGAGATGCTGCAAGGAATATAGGAAAGATAAACTGAGTCTCTCTGTGTATTGAGCTTTAGCCATGGAAGGTGAGGTGAGTCGGCTAAGGCACCTGAGGTACTACTGACTTTGATCAGTTGACAGTACTAACGACAGCTTTACAACGGCATTCAGAATGAAACAATTAGAAATGGATAACAGGTCTCTCTCCCTCAGTCTCTCTGCCAGAAGACTCCCTCCAACTCTCAAGAGCTGAGGATTGTGCTGCTGGGGTACAGGGAGAGCTGGGAAGAGTTCAGCAGGAAACACCATCCTGGGCAGAGAAGTGTTTGAAGAGAGCTTAAGAACTGCCCACTTTGGGCAAATAAAACTTCCAGACTTGGAATTGTATCAACTCGCCACCCAAGGCTTTTACTTGTGACATTTAGTTAACTGCACTAAAGAGGAACAATGGGTACATAGTCATCCCCAGAATATTTTAATTTGTCGATTTTCAACATTACCAACTTCAATGTTAAGAACCCTATAACAACATGGGAGAAAATGAAATGTATTCTACAAGAACCAATATCACTCCCTGAAAACACACCCCGGTGGAACAATCCTTGGAGAGCTTTTCACAATTCACAGATAAATTGGTCCACATGGAAAACTAAAGGCATAGGAAATACATTTATTTCCATGACAGAATTAAAAAGCAATTTTGGACTGAACAAAAATATAAATGCAACATGCAACAATTTCAAAGACTTTACTGAGTTACAGTTCATAAAAGGAAATCAGTCGATTTAAATAAATTCATTAGGCCCTAATCTATGGATTTCACATGACAGGGAATACAGATGTACATCTGTTGGTCACAGATACCTTTTAAAAAAAAGGTAGGGGCATGGATCAGAAAACCAGTCGTGTGACCACCTCATGCAGCGCCGACACATCTCCTTCGCATAGAGTTGATCAGGCTGTTGATTGTGGCCTGTGGAATATTGTCCCACTCCTCTTCAATGGCTGTGCAACAAACTTGTAAAAAAATAACATAACTACCTTACTATTCATCACTACCTTCCTATTCATAACTACCTTACTATTCATCACTACCTTACAAGTTCTCCTCTATAATACGTGTTTCACGACTTATTTACTACATACATGAGTGGTAAGTCAGGACTGATGATGTTGACTGATTTCCTTATATAAAACTTATATTTTTGTTCAGTGCATATGATAACATAAAATTGTCTTTATATTTAAATGGTCTTTATATTCCACAAAATGTTATGTCCCAAAGGCTGTCCAAACACTTAAGACGAAAGGGAATTCTGACTGTGTAAAAAAGGCCATTAGGAGACTCTAAAATGTCGTATTCTATACCCTTATGAAGAAAAACTAGTTATTCATGTGTTCGATAGGTTTCTCTCAGGGGACCCCTATCAGTCTCACTACTCTCTGTAAAGTAAAGGGCCGGCTTGCATAACAACACATTAAGTTAATTCCCCCCTTATCTTTTCCCTTAAAAGTTTCCTTAACGTTAAAGTCAGTTGCACAAAACATTTTAAAAAGGTGAATTTCCCCCTTAAATTAAATGAAAAAAAGTTAAGGGTGCTCATGAGGTCCCTTAACTGCTTCATTCAGTATGGATATCAATGTAAACAGCATTCGTGGAGGTGAAATGTTGCTTTCATCCGCTCTGGTTACAAAAGGAAAACATCAACCAGCTAGCTACTTAGCTAAAACAATGGAAGGTGCACAATCCATGGCTACAAAGCTAGCTGGCTAGTTAGCTATAGTTACTCTGTTAGCTAGCTTGACGTACTAGAAAGTAATATAAACAACAGTTGAGAAAAAAGTAACTACAAGAAACAAGATTTATTATCTTCTGAAACAATTTGGTTATCCTGTCTCGATTGTAGAAGTTCTATTTTGCTATCTCACAAAATTAAAGCGATCTCTTTGACGAGACGTTTAGTCAGTGAATCAGGCCGTCTCCATGGAAACCAGGTACTCTTTCTGCCATACATGCCTTCAAACTACCGTAAAACCCCTTAAGTATGCCCTTACCTAAGGACATATTTGAGGGGCTCTATGCAAACACCCTTAAACAATTCCCTTAGGTAAGAGAAAATTATTCCTTAAGCTAAACGCATATGTCTTATGCAACCGCGCAAAGGTATTTTGTTTACGATAAGTTATAGTAGCCCATCTTCTGATTATAGCTAGCTTATTTTCAGTCAACTGCTCCTGCTGAGTTCAGGCTCCGTTCAACGTTAGCTTCTAACCAGCTATTTATAGCTAGCTACATGGCTAATTGCCAGAGCCCTTGAGCTACCTAGCTAGCTAGACATCTGACTGAAATATCAGCCAATATTTACCAGTTGACACGGCTGGAGTCGAGGGATGAAAATTGCTATTGTCAGCGCCGTCTCTCTGCCACTTGCCACTGCCGGTCAACATACAAATAATATTACTACACAGATCATACACGTAACGTTAGCTAACTAGCCTGCCAGCTAACGTTAGCTAGCTAGCTAGCAGTACACTTTAACAGCAGGCTACAACAACACACCCTGAGTAGATACGGTACATAGTAAATATGAAGACAGATTTAGACATTGCATATAATTGAACAGTTCCGTTTCACGTCACGCTGTTTATTATGTTTTACCGGTTTCTCGCAATTATTCATCCTGGGAAAAGGGAGTGGGTTTGGGCAGGAAATTCCGGTAACACGGTTCCCTGGCATTAAACCCTTAACTTTCATATTGGGCCCAGTGTTTATTGAGATAGAACGATAACAGGTAGGAATCGAAACATTTGTTTGTTTGTCTCAATATAAATCACGGGGAAAAAAATACTGGAAAATAAGAAAGACTGTACTATAGAACGAGTAGGAAAACTGCAATTTTCTTTAAGGTCCTCTGTAGCTCAGCTGGTAGAGCACGGCGCTTGTAACGCCAAGGTAGTGGGTTCGATCCCAGGGACCACCCATACACAAAAATGCATGCACACATGACTGTAAGTCGCTTTGGATAAAAGCGTCTGCTAAATGGCATATTATTATTATTATCATCTGCTGAACATGCAATAGTGTTGAAATGGTCCCAGTATTATTTGGTGTCACATGATGCATGAGCAAGTGTTAAATCCCTTCCCCTTCCAACCCAGCCCCCACCAAGTCACCATGTTTGGTGTCATCCCTTCCCCTTTCCCCAGCCCAACCCAGCCCCCACCAAGTCACCCATGTTTGGGTGTCATCCCTTCCCCTTTCCCCAGCCCAACCCAGCCCCACCAAGTCAACCATGTTTGGTGTCATCCCTTCCCCTTTCCCCAGCCCAACCCGGCCCCCACCAAGTCACCATGTTTGGTGTCATCCCTTCCCCTTTCCCCAGCCCAACCCAGCCCCCACCAAGTCACCATGTTTGGTGTCATCCCTTCCCCTTTCCCCAGCCCAACCCAGCCCCCACCAAGTCACCATGTTTGGTGTCATCCCTTCCCCTTTCCCCAGCCCAACCCGGCCCCCACCAAGTCACCATGTTGGTGTCATCCCTTCCCCTTTCCCCAGCCCAACCCAGCCCCCACCAAGTCACCATGTTTGGTGTCATCCCTTCCCCTTTCCCCAGCCCAAACCCAGCCCCCACCAAGTCACCATGTTTGGTGTCATCCCTTCCCCTTTCCCCAGCCCAACCCAGCCCCCACCAAGTCACCATGTTTGGTGTCTAATGAAAAAGGCTATTTTTTTCCTGCCGGCACAGATTCTCAGTAGACTTCAGAGGGGAAGAGGCTAAACCTTCGTCAGCTAACTATCCGTGTGTGTGTGTGTGTGTGTGTGTGTGTGTGTGTGTGTGTGTGTGTGTGTGTGTGTGTGTGTGTGTGTGTGTGTGTGTGTGGTGTGTTGTGTGTGTGTATAGTACTACTCACTCCTTGGCCATGTGTGTGTCCTTCAGGACGTGTACGTAGATGAAGAGGGCCTGTTCATGTTTCCCCATCCGACCCAGCAGCAGGGCACGCTCCTCCAGAAGACCTGACACAGACAAACGACACGGCTGAGGCTGTGTGCTAGCCTCCGTGAATGTGTGTTCACCGTGCCACTAGGTTGAAGATACCCAGGTTAGGACAAGTTATGATTCCATGCGGAAGCTTTTAAAAAAACAGATTAAATGAGACCAGCGTCGTTGCTAACTAGCATCGCTGGTCCCATTGTTTCGAATTCTTCCTCATTCATGCAAAGAGCTCTGGGATATCACAATCCTCGTGTCTTAACCTTTGTCATCTTCAACCTAGTGGCATGGTGAACACACATTCACGGAGGCTAGCATACAGCCATTTGCCATAGGAGTTGGCAAGACAGCACAAACAGATCTGGGACCCAGGCTAGAGTACCAAACAAACTCTCTTATCCAATCAGTACTTTCAACTAAAGAAGTAAAAATAAATAATAATAATAATAATAAACTAAAAAAAGTAATAAAAGGACTGCATACGATCACTGGAAGTACAACCAGTCAGGAGGAAGCACAATAACTGTTGAATCTACCCACAACCATCCCATTCTCAAGTCAGAGATGAGTCGTTCTGGTTCGTAGCTGGTAGAGACCTCCAGGAAACACCTCTACAGTCCCTACAATAGTTTACAGTCTCTACTATAGCCTTCTGGTCTCCTCACCATCGAAGGGGAAGTCGGAGATGAGTCGTCCTGGTTCGTAGCTGGTAGAGACCTCCAGGAAACACACTAGCTTCTTCCTGAACTCTCCCAGGTCCCCCTCCTCCTTCCCAGCAGCCACTCCAGGAACCCCTACAGGAAGACAAAACAGACAGATCTATTAGAATATCACATATCAGCTATGGAGTACCTCAGGGAAGTGTGATGGGGCCAGGGCCATTTATAGATCGATGATACTAGATATTTCGCAGGCTTCCAAAAAGTATTTTGTCCATTTTCTCAGTCCAGTAAGATACGCTGGCTGATAGTGCTGAGCGATTAGTGCTTTCTGAGGTCGTTTCGATTTCGATTATATTTTTTAAACATGAAATGCACTATGCATTATGTGGGTTGAATGCCGTAACACAGAATAAAACCATGAATAAAAGTCCCATGATGGTAGCGACTGCCAAAATACTGCTTATCACTTATTAGCCATCAGTTATTCACATTACTTTACTTCAATAAAATATTTCAGTTCTTGTGTATATTGCATTTGTTTTATTTGATGACTTTATTATTTCATTCAGGTCGTCATATCATCTCCATAGAGCTGCTGTCTTTGCAATTTGACAAAATCACTATTGTAGTAGTAAATAAGGCATACTTTTATGACTGCTGAATACCAACTCTCAGTCACTTACAGTGAGGGAAAAAAGTATTTGATCCCCTGCTGATTTTGTACGTTTGCCCACTGACAAAGACATGATCAGTCTATAATTTTAATGGTAGGTTTATTTGAACAGTGAGAGACAGAATAACAACAAAAACATCCAGAAAAACGCATGTCAGAAATGTTATAAATTGATTTGCATTTTAATGAGGGAAATAAGTATTTGACCCCCTCTCAATCAGAAAGATTTCTGGCTCCCAGGTGTCTTTTATACAGGTAACGAGCTGAGATTAGGAGCACACTCTTAAAGGGAGTGCTCCTAATCTCAGTTTGTTACCTGTATAAAAGACACCTGTCCACAGAAGCAATCAATCAATCAGATTCCAAACTCTCCAACATGGCCAAGTCCAAAGAGCTCTCCAAGGATGTCAGGGACAAGATTGTAGAGCTACACAAGGCTGGAATGGGCTACAAGACCATCGCCAAGCAGCTTGGTGAGAAGGTGACAACAGTTGGTGCGATTATTCGCAAATGGAAGAAACACAAAAGAACTGTCAATCTCCCTCGGCCTGGGGCTCCATGCAAGATCTCACCTTGTGGAGTTGCAATGATCATGAGAACGGTGAGGAATCAGCACAGAACTACACGGGAGGATCTTGTCAATGATCTCAAGGCAGCTGGGACCATAGTCACCAAGAAAACAATTGGTAACACACTCCTCTGTGAAGGACTGAAATCCTGCAGTGCCCGCAAGGTCCCCCTGCTCAAGAAAGCACATATACAGGCCCGTCTGAAGTTTGCCAATGAACATCTGAATGATTCAGAGGAGAACTGGGTGAAAGTGTTGTGGTCAAATGAGACCAAAATCGAGCTCTTTGGCATCAACTCAACTCGCCGTTTTTGGAGGAGGAGGAATGCTGCCTATGACCCCAAGAACACCATCCCCACAGTCAACCATGGAGGTGGAAACATTATGCTTTGGGGGTGTTTTTCTGCTAAGGGGACAGGACAACTTCACCGCATCAAAGGGATGATGGACAGGGCCATGTACCATCAAATCTTGGGTGAGAACCTCCTTCCCTCAGCCAGGGCATTGAAAATGGGTCGTGGATGGGTATTCCAGCATGGCAATGACCCAAAACACACGGCCAAGGCAACAAAGGAGTGGCTCAAGAAGAAGCACATTAAGGTCCTGGAGTGGCCTAGCCAGTCTCAAGACCTTAATCCCATAGAAAATCTGTGGAGGGAGCTGAAGGTTCGAGTTGCTAAACGTCAGCCTCGAAACCTTAATGACTTGAAGAAGATCTGCAAAGAGGAGTGGGACAAAATCCCTCCTGAGATGTGTGCAAACCTGGTGGCCAACTACAAGAAACGTCTGACCTCTGTGATTGCCAACAAGGGTTTTGCCACCAAGTACTAAGTAATGTTTTGCAGAGGGGTCAAATACTTATTTCCCTCATTAAAATGCAAATCAATTTGTAACATTTTTGACATGTGTTTTTTCTGAATTTTTTGGGGGGGTTATTCTGTCTCTCACTGTTCAAATAAACCTACCATTAAAATTATAGACTGATCATGTCTTTGTCAGTGGGCAAACATACAAAATCAGCAGGGGATCAAATACTTTTTTCCCTCACTGTAGATGTATTTTCAGATAGCGATACCTCGAAGAAACTGCTCTCCATGTATCCCCACTTGACCGTGCATTCTTCGGTACCTTACGTAGCAGGCGTAAAAGAAACACAGCCGCGGATTGGATCATGATCATTGTAGTTCATTATCACGTTTTCAACGCTAAACTATGTAGAACATCGGCATGTTGGAAACTACACCTCCCTAGTACATCGCACAGTTCAGGCATGACCTGATGCATCTCTAGAGAAACTGCAGCGCAATGTGCGCATTGAGCTCACAGACAAAAACAGAACGAAATGGAATTTCAAATAACTGAACCGGCGCAAGTCAATTAGTTGTTTAAAAAACGAAAGATAACCGACATTTCGGTTAATCGCTCAGCCCTACTGGCTGATAACTGCTGGCTTATCCACAGGCCTCCAGTAGTGTGTATAGTCGTCCCTTAGGCAGGTCTTTCCTTCAGGCAGGGAGTTGAGGGACTGCTTCATGAGAAATACAGGGGGCGGAGGTCGGGGTGCCTTGTGAGAATTCTTCGGCGAGTGGGTAAACCGCCTCTACCATCCGTTCTATTGGCCAACGTGCAATCACTGGAAAATAAACTGGATGACCTACGATCAAGACTATCTGTAATATCTTATGTTTCACCGAGTCGTGGCTGAACGACGACACGGATAATATAGAGTTGGCTGGGTTTTCCGTGCATCGGCAGGACAGAACAGCTACGTCTGGTAAAACGAGGGGCGGGGGTGTGTGTCTATTTGTCAATAACAGCTGGTACGCAATGTCTAATATTAAAGAAGTCTCAAGGTATTGCTCGCCTGAGGTAGAGTACCTCATGATAAGCTGTAGACCACACTATCTACCAAGAGAGATTATCTATATTATTTTTAGCCGTCTATTTACCACCACAAACCGATGCTGGCATTAAGATTGCACTCAATGAGTTGTATAAGGCCATAAGAAAACAGGAAAACGCTCATCCAGAGGCGGCGCTCCTAGTGGCCGGGGACTTTAATGCAGGGAAACTTAAATCCGTTTTACCTAATTTCTACCAGCATGTTAAATGTGCAACCAGACGTAAAAAAAAAAAAGAACTCTAGACCACCTTTACTCCACACACAGAGACGCATACAAAGCTCTCTCTCGCCCTCTTCCGATGGCATTGAGGAGTACACCACATCAGTCACTGGCTTCATCAATAAGTGCATGGACGACGTTGACCCTACAGTGACCGTACATACATATCCCAAGGAGCGGAATGCAAATCCGGACGCTTATAAGAAATCCCGCTATGCCCTGACACTCGTCGGATGTGGCAGGGCTTGCAAACTATTACGGGAAACCCAGCTGCGAGCTGCCCAGTGACGCGAGCCTACCAGACAAGCTAAATGCCTTTTTATGCTCGCTTCGAGGCAAGCAACACTGAAGTATGCATGAGAGCATCAGCTGTTCCGGATGACTGTGTGATCACGATCTCCGTCGCCGATGTGAGCAAGACCTTTAAACAGGACAACATTCACAAGGCCGCAGGGCCAGACAGATTACCAGGACGTGTACTCAGAGCATGCGCAGACCAACTGGCAAGTGTCTTCACTGACATTTTCAACCTCTCCCTGACCGAGTCTGTAATACCTACATGTTTCAAGCAGACCACCATAGTCCCTGTGCCCAAGAAAGCGAAGGTAACCTGCCTAAATGACTACCGACCTGTAGCACTCACGTCGGTAGCCATGAAGTGCTTTGAAAGGCTAGTCATGGCTCACATCAACACCATCATCCTGGAAACCCTAGACCCACTCCAATTCACATACTGCCCCAACAGATCCAAAGATGACGCAATCTCAATCGCATTCCACACTGCCCTTTCCCACCTGGACAAAAGGAACACCTATGTGAGAATGCTGTTCATTGACTACAGCTCAGCGTTCAGCGCCATAGTGCCCTCAAAGCTCATCACTAAGCTAAGGACCCTGGGACTAACACCTCCCTCTGCAACTGGATCCTGGAATTCCTGACGGGCCGCCCCCAGGTGGTACGTGTAGGCAACAACACATCTGCCACGCTGATCCTCGACACGGGGGCCCCTCAGGGGTGCGTGCTTAGTCCCCTCCTGTACTCCCTGTTCACCCATGACTGCATGGCCAGGCACGACTCCAACACCATCATTAAGTTTGCTGACGACACAACAGTGGTAGGCCTGATCACCAACAACGATGAGACAGCCTATAGGGAGGAGGTCAGAGACCTGGCAGTGTGGTGCCAGGACAACAACCTCGCCCTCAATGTGAGCAAGACAAAAGAGCTGATTGTGGACTACAGGAAAAGGCCGGCCGAACAGGGCCCCATTAACATCCACGGGGCTGTAGTGGAGCGGGTCGAGAGTTTCAAGTTCCTTGGTGTCCACATCACCAACAAACTATCATGGTCCAAACACACCAAGACAGTCGTGAAGAGGGCATGACAACACCCTTTCCCCCTCAGGAGACTGAAAAGATTTGGCATGGGATCCTCAAAGTTCTACAGCTGCACCATCAAGAGCCTCCTGACCGGTTGCATCACCGCCTGGTATGATAACTGCTTGGCCTACGACCGCAAGGCACTACAGAGGGTAGTGTGTACAGCCCAGTACATCACTGGGGCCAAGCTTCCTGCCATCCAGGACCTATACACTAGGCGTTGTCAGGGAAAGGCCCAAAAAATTGTCAAAGACTCCAGTCAACCAAGTCAGACTGTTCTCTCTGCTACTGCACGGCAAGCGGTACTGGAGCGGCAAGTCTAGGTCCAAAAGGCTCCCTAACAGCTTCTACCCCCAAGCCATAAGACTCCTGAACAATTAATAAAATGGCCACCCGGAATATTTACATTGACAACCCCTTTGTTTTTACACTGCTGCTACTCCACTTTACCCCTACCTACATGTACAAGTTACCACGACTAACCTGTACCCCCGCACATTGACTCGGTATAGGTACTGTATATTGCCTCATTATTGTTATTTTATTGTGTGACATTTTTATTTTTAACTTTATTTCGTAAATCTTTTCTTAACTATTTATTGAACTGCATTGTTGGTTAAGGGCTTGTAAGTAAGCATTTCACGGTAAGTTCTACACCTGTTGTATTCGGTGCATGTGACAAATAACATTTGATTTGATTTTGATTTGAGTAGTAGTAGTGATAGTAGTAGCGGCAGTAGTAGTAAACAGTTGAGGTACTGCTTCATGAGTCCCTGGACCATCTCTAGGTACAGCTGTATCAGTACTGTAGTAATAGTAGTAGCAGTACTAGTAGTAGTAGTAGTAGAAGTAGTAGTAGTAGTAGTAGTAGTAGTAGTAGTAGAAGTGATAGTAGTAGTAGTAGTAGTAGTAGTAGTAGTACCAGTAGTGATAGTAGTAGTAGTAGTAGTAGTAGTAGTGATAGTAGTAGTAGTAGTAGTAGTAGTAGTAGTAGTAGTAGTAGTAGTAGTAGTAGTAGTAGAGTAGTAGTCAGTAGTAGAGTAGTAGTAGTGATAGTGGTAGTAGTAGTAGTAGTCAGTAGTAGTAGTAGTAGTAGTAGTAGAGATGAGTAGTAGTAGTAGTAGTGGTAGTAGTATAGTAGTAGTAGTATAGTAGTAGTAGTAGTAGTAGTCGTAGATCAGTAGTAGTAGTAGTAGCAGTAGAGTAGTAGTAGTAGAGTAGTGAGTAGTATGTATGGTGTAGTAAGTGTAGTGTAGTAGTAAGTAGTTAGTGTGTAGTAAGTAGTAGTGAGTAGTAGTGTATAGTAGTAGTAGTAGTAGGTATTAGTAGTGTAGTAGTAGTAGTAGTTATGGTGTAGTAGGTAGTAGTGATAGTAGTGATAGTAGTAGCTGTAGTAGTAGTAGTGTAGTAGTGTAGTAGTAGTCAGTAGTAGTAGTAGTGTAGTAGTAGTAGTTAGTAGTAGTAGTAGTGTAGTCGTGGTAGTCAGTGGTGTAGGTAGTAGTGGTGGTAGTCGTCGTGGTGGTCGTCTTCGTCGTGCTTCGTAGTAGTCTACGATCGTAGTAGTACTTAGTTCGGTAGCCGTCTGTGTCGTATCGTCGTCGTAGTCAGTAGTGTAGTATAGTAGTAGTAGTGGTGGTCAGTAAGTAGTGGTAGTATGGTGGTAGTAGTAGTAGTGATAGTAGTAGTAGCATAGTAGTAGTAGATCTTACCCTCGGGCAGGGAGGTTGAGGTACTGCTTCATGGAGCCCCTGGGACCCTCTCATAGGTACCAAGCTGTATGAGGACGTTATGGAACTCTGGTCATGGTCCTCCTCCCAGAACATGTATGATTGGCTCCAGGTAGGGCACAGGCCATCTCCTTAAAACCCTCCTTCAGGAAGTTCAGGACCTTGTCTCTGGGCAGGGTCTCTACCTCCGTCAGGTCCTCAGTGAAGATCTGGGGCAGAGACAGACACACAATATAAATACTGTGACAATTTTCTTGTTTCATGATTTTCACATTAAATTCTCCCTCAAGTTGGAGGGTGTTTAGAAGTTGATGCATTTATTGATCCCTTGGTTTCATCTCCAAGTGGCCCTCGATTCTGCAGTATTAAACACGTCACAAGGAGTGTCACTCCATCGAGTGTAGGGGCAAGGGAAAGGGGTCGATTTGGAATTGAGGCACTCTCTCACCTTCAGTCCGTCTTCAGGACAGATCTTCAGCACCCAGGGAGAGAACTCAAAGATGATGCCCAGATTCTCCATCCCTGAGGAGAGAAAAAGAGGAGTCTTAGAGAGCTCAGAGATGAGAGTGGGATGTGGGTATGATAGTTATTGAGCAGTATGTGGTATTCATTTGGTGTTATGGTGCTATAACCGTGTGCACGTGTTCTCTGTCAGTCACACATTTACATATGTTGTCTGTAAAGCCTATTGTATGTCTCTAACCCAGTTTTTATTTGGATGTTTAAAACATAGTGTTGAGGTGGTGTTGGGAGGTGAGCTCACCCAGTCTCTGGAGGTACTGCACAGTCCTCTCATGCCCCTTTAGGGGAGAGTTAGCCTTGGTGGACTGGTCCAACAACACCTGCAGAGCTAGGGGAGGAAGAGGGGAGGAAGAGGGGAGGAAGAGGGGAGAGTTAGCCTTGGTGGACTGGTCCAACAACACCTGCAGGGCTAGAGGAGGAAGAGGGGAGAGTTAGCCTTGGTGGACTGGTCCAACAACACCTGCAGGGCTAGAGGAGGAAGAGGAGCAGGGGAGGAAGGGGAGCAGGACTAGGGGAGGAAGAGGAGAGAGTTAGCCTTGGTGGACTGGTCCAACAACACCTGCAGGGCTAGAGGAGGAAGAGGAGCAGGACTAGGGGAGGAAGAGGAGCAGGGCTAGGGGAGGAAGAGGAGCAGGACTAGGGGAGGAAGAGGAGCAGGGCTAGGGGAGGAAGAGGAGCAGGACTAGGGGAGGAAGAGGAGCAGGACTAGGGGAGGAAGAGGAGCAGGACTAGGGGAGGAAGAGGAGCAGGACTAGGGGAGGAAGAGGAGCAGGGCTAGGGGAGGAAGAGGAGCAGGACTAGGGGAGGAAGAGGAGCAGGACTAGGGGACGAAGAAGAGCAGGACTAGGGGAGGAAGGGAAAAAGGTAATGTGATCAACTATCATGATTACAACTCTCTGTGTTTAAACAGCCAGAAGGAATTTAACTTTAACTGACTAAGGTAGAGATGTAGAGAGAGAGAGAGACAGAGAGAGGTAGAGAGAGAAATGAGGTGGAAACTGAGCTGCACTTCCTAACCTCCTGCCAAATGTATGACCATATTAGAGACACATATTTCCCTCAGATTACACAGACCCACAAAGAATTAGAAAACAAATCCCATTTTGATAAACTCCCATATCTATTGGGTGAAATACCACAGTGTGCCATCAAAAAGATTTGTGACCTGTTGCCACAAGAAAAGAGCTTTAACTACACTGCTCAAAACAATAAAGGGAACACTTAAACGACACAATGTAACTCCAAGTCAATCACACTTCTGTGAAATCAAACTGTCCACTTAGGAAGCAACACTGATTGACAATAAATTTCACATGCTGTTGTGCAAATGGAATAGACAACAGGTGGAAATTATAGGCAATTAGCAAGACACCCCCAATAAAGGAGTGGTTCTGCAGGTGGTGACCATAGACCACTTCTCAGTTCCTATGCTTCCTGGCTGATGTTTTGGTCACTTTTGAATGCTGGCGGTGCTTTCACTCTAGTGGTAGCATGAGACGTTGTCTACAATCCACACAAGTGGCTCAGGTAGTGCAGCTCATCCAGGATGGCACATCAATGCGAGCTGTGGCAAGAAGGTTTGCTGTGTCTGTCAGCGTAGTGTCCAGAGCATGGAGGCGCTACCAGGAGACAGGCCAGTACATCAGGAGACGTGGAGGAGGCCGTAGGAGGGCAACAACCCAGCAGCAGGACCGCTACCGCCGCCTTTGTGCAAGGAGGAGCAGGTGGAGCACTGCCAGAGCCCTGCAAAATGACCTCCAGCAGGCCACAAATGTGCATGTGTCTGCTCAAACGGTCAGAAACAGACTCTATGAGGGTGGTATGAGGGCCCGACATCCACAGGTGGGGATTGTGCTTACAGCCCAACACCGTGCAGGACATTTGGCATTTGCCAGAGAACACCAAGATTGGCAAATTCGCCACTGGCGCCCTGTGCTCTTCACAGATGAAAGCAGGTTCACACTGAGCACATGTGACAGACGTGACAGAGTCTGGAGACGCCGTGGAGAACGTTCTGCTGCCTGCAACATCCTCCAGCATGACCGGTTTGGCGGTGGGTCAGTCATGGTGTGGGGTGGCATTTCTTTGGGGGGCTGCACAGCCCTCCATGTGCTCGCCAGAGGTAGCCTGACTGCCATTAGGGACCGAGATGAGATCCTCAGACCCCTTGTGAGACCATATGCTGGTGTGGTTGGCCCTGGGTTCCTCCTAATGCAAGACAATGCTAGACCTCATGTGGCTGGAGTGTGTCAGCAGTTCCTGCAAGAGGAAGGCATTGATGCTATGGACTGGCCTGCCCGTTCCCCAGACCTGAATCCAATTGAGCACATCTGGGACATCATGTCTCGCTCCAACCACCAATGCCACGTTGCACCACAGACTGTCCAGGAGTTGGCGGATGCTTTAGTCCAGGTCTGGGAGGAGATCCCTCAGGAGACCATCCGCCACCTCATCAGGAGCATGCCCAGGCGTTGTAGGGAGGTCATACAGGCACGTGGAGGCCACACACACTACTGAGCTTTATTTTTACTTGTTTTAAGGACATTACATCAAAGTTGGATCAGCCTGAAGTTCCACTTTAATTTTGAGTGTGACTCCAAATCCAGACATCCATGTGTTGATAAATTTGATTTCCATTGATAATTTTTGTGTGATTTTGTTGTCAGCACATTCAACTATGTAAAGAAAAAAGTATTTAATAAGATTATTTCATTCATTCAGATCTAGGATGTGTTATTTTAGTGTTCCCATAATTTTTTTGAGCAATGTATTGGCACATAATATGACATTTGAAATGTCTTTATTCTTTTGGAACTTCTGTGAGTGTAATGTTTACAGTTAATATTTACTGTTAATTTAATTTTGTTTACTATCTATTTAACTTGCCTTGGCAATGTTAACATACGTTTCCCATGCCAATAAAGCCCTTCAATTGAACTGAATTGACAGAGAAAGACAGGGAGAAAGAGAGAGAGCGAGAGACGGACAGACAGAGAGTTATCTATCCAAAACGGAGATGTATAGATAAACCACTTATCCCAAGCGCTATGATGAAACTGGCTCTCATCACGACCACCACAGGAATGGAAGACCCAGAGTTACAGTTGAAGCCGGAAGTTTACATACACCTTAGCCAAATACATTTCAATTCAGTTTCACAATTCCTGACATTTAATCCTAGTAAAAATTCCCTGTCTTAGGTCAGTTAGGATCACCACTTTATTTTAAGAATGTGTAATGTCAGAATAATAGTAGAGAGAATGATTTATTTAAGCTTTTATTTATTTCATCACATTCCCAGTGGGTCAGAAGTTTACATACATTCAATTAGTATTTGGTAGCATTGCCTTTAAATTGTTTAACTTGGGTCAAACGTTTCGGGTAGCCTTCCACAAGCTTCCCACAATAAGTTGGGTAAATTTTGGCCCATTCCTCCTGACAGAGCTGGTGTAACTGAGTCAGGTTTGTAGGCCTCCTTGCTCGCACACGCTTTTTCAGTTCTGCCCACACATTTTCTACAGGATTGAGGTCAGGGCTTTGTGATGGCCACTCCAATACCTTGACTTTGTTGTCCTTAAGCCATTTTGCCACAACTTTGGAAGTATGCTTGGGGTCATTGTCCATTTGGAAGACCCATTTGCGACCAAGCTTTAACTTCCTGACTGATGTCTTGAGATGTTGCATCAATATATCCACATAATTTTCCTTCCTCATGATGCCATCTATTTTGTAATAATAATAATAATTTTGTGAAGTGCACCAGTCCCTCCTACAGCAAAGCACCCCCACAGCATGATGCTGCCACCCCCATGCTTCACAGTTTGGTATGGTGTTCTTCGGCATGTAAGCTACCACCCTTTTCCCTCCAAACATAACAATGGTCATTTTGGCCAAACACTTATATTTTTGTTTCATCAGACCAGAGGACATTTCTCCGAAAAGTACGATCTTTGTCCCAATGTGCAGTTGCAAACCGTAGTCTGCCTTTTTTATGGCAGTTTTGGAGCAGTGGCTTCTTCCTTGCTGAGCGGCCTTTCAGGTTATGTCGATATAGGACTCGTTTTACTGTGGCTATAGATACTTTTGTACCTGTTTCCTCCAGCATCTTCACAAGGTCCTTTGCTGTTGTTCTGGGATTGATTTGCACTTTTCGCACCAAAGTACGTTCATCTCTTGGAGACAGAACGCATCTCCTTCCTGAGCGGTATGACGGCTGCGTGGTCCCATGGTGTTTATACTTGCTTACTATTGTTTGTACAGATGAACGTGGTACCTTCAGGCATTTGGAAATTGCTCCCAAGGATGAACCAGACTTGTGGAGGTCTACTTGTGGAGGTCTTGGCTGATTTCTTTAGATTGTTTCATGATGTCAAGCAAAGAAGCACTGAGTTTGAAGGTAGGCCTTGAAATACCTCCACAGGTACACCTCCAATTGACTCAAATGATGTCAATTAGCCTATCAGAAGCTTCTAAAGCCATGACATAATTTTTTGGAATTTTCCAAGCTGTTTAAAGGCACAGTCAACTTTGTGTATGTAAACTTCTGACCCACTGGAATTGTGATACAATGAATTATAAGTAAAACAATCTGTCTGTAAACAATTGTTGGAAAAATTACTTGTGTCATGCACAAAGTAGATGTCCTAACCGACTTGCCAAAACTATAGTTTGTTAACAAGAAATGTGTGGAGTGGTTGAAAAACGAGTTTTAATGACTCCAACCTAAGTGTATTTAAACTTTCTACTTCAACTGTATATATGAATGAATTGGCGAGGGCACTAGAACAGTCTGCAGCACCCGGCTTCACCCTACTAGAATCTGAAGTCAAATGTCTACTGTTTGCTGATGATCTTGTGCTTCTGTTCCCAACCAAGGAGGGCTTACAGCCGCACCTACATCTTCTTCACAGATACTGTCAGACCTGGGCCCTGACAGTAAATCTCACTAAGACAAAAATAATGGTGTTCCAAAAAAGGTCCAGTTGCCAAGACCACAAATACAAATTCCATCTAGACACCGTTGCCCCAGAGCACTCAAAAAAAACTATACATACCTCAGCCTAAACATCAGCGCCACAGGTAACTTCCACAAAGCTGTGAACGATCTGAGAGACAAGGCAAGAAGGGCCTTCTATGCCATCAAAAGGAACATACAATTTTACATACCAATTAGGATCTGGCTAAAAATACTTGAATCAGTTATAGAACCCATTGCCTTTTATGGTTGTGAGGTCTTGGATCCGCTCACCAACCAAGAATTCACAAAATTTGACAAACACCAAATCAAGATTCTGCATGCAGAATTCTGCAAAAAATATCCTCAGTGTACAACAAATAATGCATGCAGAGCATAATTAGGCCGATACCCACTAATTATCAAAATCCAGAAAATAGATAAATTCTTCAACCTCTTAAAAGGAAGCGATTCCCAAAACTTCCATAACAAAGCCATCACCTACAGAGAGATGAACCTGGAGAAGAGTCCCCTAAGCAAGCTGGTCCTGTGGCTCTGTTCAAACACAAACAGACCCCACTGAGCCCCAGGACAACAACACAATTAGACCCAACCAAATCATGAGAAAACAAAAAGATAATTACTTCACACTGGAAAGAATTAACAAAAAAACTGAGCAAACTAGAATGATATTTGGCCCTAAACAGAGAGTACACAGTGGCAAAATACCTGACCACTGTGACTGACCAAAATTAAGCAAAGCTTTGACTAAGTACAGACTCAGTGAGCATAGCCTTGCTACTGAGAAAGGTCACCGTAGGCAGACCTGGCTCTCAAGAGAAGACAGGCTATGTGCACACTGCCCACAAAATGAGGTGGAAACTGAGCTGCACTTCCTAACCTCCTGCCAAATGTATGACACATATTACCCACAGATCACACAAAGAATTCGAAAACAAATCACATTTTGATAAAACCCATATATATTCGGTGAAATACAACAATGTGCCATCTCAGCTGGAAGATTTGTGACCTGTTAACACAAGAAAAGGGCAACCAGTGAAGAACAAACACCATTGTAAATACAAACTATATTTATGTTGATTTATTTTTCCCTTTTGTACTTTAACTATTTGCACATCGTTACAACGACTATATATAGACATAATATGACATTTGAAATGTCTTTATTCTTTTGTGTGAGTGTAATATTTACTGTTCACTTTTATTGTTTATTATCTATTTCACTTGCAATGTAAACATATGTATCCCATGCCAATAAAGCCCCTTGAATTGAAATTGAATTGAGAGAGAGAGAGAGACAGAGACAGAGAGAGAGAGAGAGAGAGAGAGAGACAGAGAGAGAGAGAGAGACAGAGAGAGAGAGAGAACAGAGAGAGAGATGAGAACAGAGAGAGAGAGACAGAGAGAACAAGAGAGAGAGAGACAGAGAGAAAGAGCGGAGAACACAAGAGAGGAGACACAGAGAGAGAGAAAGAAGAGAGAGAGAGAGAGAGAAGAGGAGAGAGAGAGAGAAGCGAGAGCTAGAGAGAGAGAAGAGAGAGATGAGAGAGAGAGGAGAGGAGATGAGAGGAGAAAGAGAGAGAGAACAGAGGGAGATAGAGAGGAGAAGAGAGAGAGAGAGCGCGAGAGAGAGCGAAGAGGAGAGAGAAGGAGAGAGAGAGAGAGAGAGAGACAGAGAGAGAGATGAGAGAGAGAGAGAGACAGAGAGAGAGAGGAGGACACAGAAACCTCAGCAGCATTACATCACTAGAACGGCTTGTGGCAGACTGATGATTAAAAACACACACTGGCCCGGCCCAGAACCACCACTAATAACATGACTATCCAAAACACACTGGCCCGGCCCAGAACCACCACTAATAACATGACTATCCAAAACACACTGGGCTGGCCCAGAACCACCACTAATAACATGACTATCCAAAACACACTGGCCCGGCCCAGAACCACCACTAATAACATGACTATCCAAAACACACTGGCCTGGCCCAGAACCACCATTGATAACATGACTATCCAAAACACACTGGGCTGGCCCAGAACCACCACTAATAACATGACTATCCAAAACACACTGGCCCGGCCCAGAACCACCACTAATAACATGACTATCCAAAACACACTGGCCCGGCCCAGAACCACCACTAATAACATGACTATCCAAAACACACTGGGCTGGCCCAGAACCACCACTAATAACATGACTATCCAAAACACACTGGGCCGGCCCAGAACCACCACTAATAACATGACTATCCAAAACACACTGGCCTGGCCCAGAACCACCATTGATAACCTGACTATCCAAAACACACTGGGCTGGCCCAGAACCACCACTAATAACATGACTATCCAAAACACACTGGCCTGGCCCAGAACCACCATTGATAACCTGACTATCCAAAACACACTGGCCCGGCCCAGAACCACCACTAATAACATGACTATCCAAAACACACTGGCCTGGCCCAGAACCACCATTGATAACATGACTATCCAAAACACACTGGGCTGGCCCAGAACCACCACTAATAACATGACTATCCAAAACACACTGGCCTGGCCCAGAACCACCACTAATAACATGACTATCCAAAACACACTGGCCCGGCCCAGAACCACCACTAATAACATGACTATCCAAAACACACTGGGCTCTGGCCCAGAACCACCACTAATAACATGACTATCCAAAACACACTGGCCTGGCCCAGAACCACCACTAATAACATGACTATCCAAAACACACTGGCCCGGCCCAGAACCACCACTAATAACATGACTATCCAAAACACACTGGGCTGGCCCAGAACCACCACTAATAACATGACTATCCTTCAGACAGGACACACACCACAGAGAGCAGAGCTCTGAGAGGGGTCCTTCCTTCAGACAGATAGACAAGGCCTTTCTCTCTGGTCCCCCTGCTTGCTCAGAACAACCGATGCTCTCTGTGTAACACTGGTCTTCTACTCTCACTAGCACAGACTTTGTAGATAGCGGCTATTTTGGAAGGTTATAGCCACAATGATGGCGATCGTATGTGGTTGTTTTACCTATGCAAGTTGAAGGCACTAATTGTAACTCTGGATGAGAGTGTCTACTAAAGGACTCAAATGTACTACAGTGTTAATGCTCCTCATTCACAGTACTCTGAAGACTGCAGTATAGCTTTGATAGGCTGCATTTACACAGCCAGCCCAATTATGACCTTTTGCCCAATTATTGTCAAGGGAGCTGATCTGATTGGTCAAAAGAACAATCAGTGAAAAAAAATATTAGAATTGGGCTGCCTGTGTAAACGCAGCCATAGTGACAATGTTGATTACCTTTCTGGTGCAGGCCCTTCTTCTCATACAGGATGATGAGCTCGCTGTACTTGTGGGCCTTCTTCAGGATGTACTCACTCTCCTCAATGTGACAGTGGTTATTGTCCAGCCGCAACAGAGGGGACACCAGGGCCACGTTGGTCTGGAGAGAGGAGAGCCACCAGATTAACAGAGGGGACACGTTGGTCTGGAGAGAGGAGAGCCACCAGATTAACAGAGGGGACACGTTGGTCTGGAGAGAGGAGAGCCACTAGATTAACAGAGGGGACACCAGGGCCACGTTGGTCTGGAGAGAAGAGAGCCACTAGATTAACAGAGGGGACACGTTGGTCTGGAGAGAGGAGAGCCACTAGATTAACAGAGGGGACACGTTGGTCTGGAGAGAAGAGAGCCACTAGATTAACAGAGGGGACACGTTGGTCTGGAGAGAAGAGAGCCACTAGATTAACAGAGGGGACACCAGGGCCACGTTGGTCTGGAGAGAGGAGAGCCACTAGATTAACAGAGGGGACACCAGGACCACGTTGGTCTGGAGAGAAGAGAGCCACCAGATTAACAGAGGGGCCACGTTGGTCTGGAGAGAAGAGAGCCACTAGATTAACAGAGGGGACACCAGGACCATGTTGGTCTGGAGAGAAGAGAGCCACCAGATTAACAGAGGGGACACCAGGGCCAGGTTGGTCTGGAGAGAGGAGAGCCACTAGATTAACAGAGGGGACACGTTGGTCTGGAGAGAGGAGAGACACTAGATTAACAGAGGGGACACGTTGGTCTGGAGAGAAGAGAGCCACTAGATTAACAGAGGGGACACGTTGGTCTGGAGAGAAGAGAGCCACTAGATTAACAGAGGGGACACTAGGGCCACGTTGGTCTGGAGAGAGGAGAGCCACTAGATTAACAGAGGGGACACCAGGACCACGTTGGTCTGGAGAGAAGAGAGCCACCAGATTAACAGAGGGGCCACGTTGGTCTGGAGAGAAGAGAGCCACTAGATTAACAGAGGGGACACCAGGACCATGTTGGTCTGGAGAGAAGAGAGCCACCAGATTAACAGAGGGGACACCAGGGCCACGTTGGTCTGGAGAGAGGAGAGCCACTAGATTAACAGAGGGGACACCAGGACCACGTTGGTCTGGAGAGAAGAGAGCCACCAGATTAACAGAGGGGCCACGTTGGTCTGGAGAGAAGAGAGCCACTAGATTAACAGAGGGGCCACGTTGGTCTGGAGAGAAGAGAGCCACTAGATTAACAGAGGGGACACCAGGGCCACGTTGGTCTGGAGAGAAGAGAGCCACCAGATTAACAGAGGGGCCACGTTGGTCTGGAGAGAAGAGAGCCACTAGATTAACAGAGGGGACACCAGGGCCACGTTGGTCTGGAGAGAGGAGAGCCACCATATTAACAGAGGGGACACCAGGACCATGTTGGTCTGGAGAGAAGAGAGCCACCAGATTAACAGAGGGGACACCAGGGCCACGTTGGTCTGGAGAGAAGAGAGCCACTAGATTAGCAGAGGGGACACCAGGGCCACGTTGGTCTGGAGAGAAGAGAGCCACCAGATTAACAGAGGGGACACGTTGGTCTGGAGAGAGGAGAGACACTAGATTAACAGAGGGGACACGTTGGTCTGGAGAGAAGAGAGCCACTAGATTAACAGAGGGGACACGTTGGTCTGGAGAGAAGAGAGCCACTAGATTAACAGAGGGGACACTAGGGCCACGTTGGTCTGGAGAGAGGAGAGCCACTAGATTAACAGAGGGGACACCAGGACCACGTTGGTCTGGAGAGAAGAGAGCCACCAGATTAACAGAGGGGCCACGTTGGTCTGGAGAGAAGAGAGCCACTAGATTAACAGAGGGGACACCAGGACCATGTTGGTCTGGAGAGAAGAGAGCCACCAGATTAACAGAGGGGACACCAGGGCCACGTTGGTCTGGAGAGAGGAGAGCCACTAGATTAACAGAGGGGACACCAGGACCACGTTGGTCTGGAGAGAAGAGAGCCACCAGATTAACAGAGGGGCCACGTTGGTCTGGAGAGAAGAGAGCCACTAGATTAACAGAGGGGCCACGTTGGTCTGGAGAGAAGAGAGCCACTAGATTAACAGAGGGGACACCAGGGCCACGTTGGTCTGGAGAGAAGAGAGCCACCAGATTAACAGAGGGGCCACGTTGGTCTGGAGAGAAGAGAGCCACTAGATTAACAGAGGGGACACCAGGGCCACGTTGGTCTGGAGAGAGGAGAGCCACCATATTAACAGAGGGGACACCAGGACCATGTTGGTCTGGAGAGAAGAGAGCCACCAGATTAACAGAGGGGACACCAGGGCCACGTTGGTCTGGAGAGAAGAGAGCCACTAGATTAGCAGAGGGGACACCAGGGCCACGTTGGTCTGGAGAGAAGAGAGCCACCAGATTAACAGAGGGGACACGTTGGTCTGGAGAGAAGAGAGCCACTAGATTAACAGAGGGGACACCAGGGCCACGTTGGTCTGGAGAGAAGAGAGCCACTAGATTAACAGAGGGGACACCAGGGCCACGTTGGTCTGGAGAGAAGAGAGCCACCAGATTAACAGAGGGGACACGAGGACCATGTTGGTCTGGAGAGAAGAGAGCCACCAGATTAACAGAGGGGACACCTGGACCATGTTGGTCTGGAGAGAAGAGAGCCACTAGATTAACAGAGGGGACACCAGGACCATGTTGGTCTGGAGAGAAGAGAGCCACTAGATTAACAGAGGGGACACCAGGACCATGTTGGTCTGGAGAGAAGAGAGCCACTAGATTAACAGAGGGGACACCAGGGCCACGTTGGTCTGGAGAGAAGAGAGCCACTAGATTAACAGAGGGGACACCAGGACCATGTTGGTCTGGAGAGAAGAGAGCCACTAGATTAACAGAGGGGACACCAGGACCATGTTGGTCTGGAGAGAAGAGAGCCACCAGATTAACAGAGGGGACACCAGGACCATGTTGGTCTGGAGAGAAGAGAGCCACCAGATTAACAGAGGGGACACCAGGACCATGTTGGTCTGGAGAGAAGAGAGCCACTAGATTAACAGAGGGGACACCAGGGCCACGTTGGTCTGGAGAGAAGAGAGCCACCAGATTAACAGAGGGGACACGTTGGTCTGGAGAGAGGAGAGCCACTAGATTAACAGAGGGGACACCAGGACCATGTTGGTCTGGAGAGAAGAGAGCCACTAGATTAACAGAGGGGACACCAGGACCATGTTGGTCTGGAGAGAAGAGAGCCACTAGATTAACAGAGGGGACACCAGGACCATGTTGGTCTGGAGAGAAGAGAGCCACTAGATTAACAGAGGGGACACCAGGACCATGTTGGTCTGGAGAGAAGAGAGCCACTAGATTAACAGAGGGGACACCAGGGCCACGTTGGTCTGGAGAAAAGAGAGCCACTAGATTAACAGAGGGGACACCAGGACCATGTTGGTCTGGAGAGAAGAGCGCCACCAGATTAACAGAGGGGACACCAGTACCATGTTGGTCTGGAGAGAAGAGAGCCACCAGATTAACAGAGGGGACACCAGGACCATGTTGGTCTGGAGAGAAGAGAGCCACTAGATTAACAGAGGGGACACCAGGGCCACGTTGGTCTGGAGAGAAGAGAGCCACCAGATTAACAGAGGGGACACGTTGGTCTGGAGAGAGGAAAGCCACTAGATTAACAGAGGGGACACCTGGACCATGTTGGTCTGGAGAGAAGAGAGCCACTAGATTAACAGAGGGGACACCAGGACCATGTTGGTCTGGAGAGAAGAGAGCCACTAGATTAACAGAGGGGACACCAGGACCATGTTGGTCTGGAGAGAAGAGAGCCACTAGATTAACAGAGGGGACACCAGGGCCACGTTGGTCTAGAGAGAAGAGAGCCACCAGATTAACAGAGGGGACACCAGGGCCACGTTGGTCTGGAGAGAAGAGAGCCACCAGATTAACAGAGGGGACACGTTGGTCTGGAGAGAAGAGAGCCACCAGATTAACAGAGGGGACACCAGGACCATGTTGGTCTGGAGAGAAGAGAGCCACCAGATTAACAGAGGGGACACCAGGGCCACGTTGGTCTGGAGAGAAGAGAGCCACCAGATTAACAGAGGGGACACGTTGGTCTGGAGAGAAGAGAGCCACCAGATTAACAGAGGGGACACCAGGACAATGTTGGTCTGGAGAGAAGAGAGCCACTAGATTAACAGAGGGGACACCAGGACCATGTTGGTCTGGAGAGAAGAGAGCCACTAGATTAACAGAGGGGACACCAGGACCATGTTGGTCTGGAGAGAAGAGAGCCACTAGATTAACAGAGGGGACACCAGGGCCACGTTGGTCTGGAGAGAAGAGAGCCACTAGATTAACAGAGGGGACACCAGGACCATGTTGGTCTGGAGAGAAGAGAGCCACCAGATTAACAGAGGGGACACCAGGACCATGTTGGTCTGGAGAGAAGAGAGCCACCAGATTAACAGAGGGGACACCAGGACCATGTTGGTCTGGAGAGAAGAGAGCCACTAGATTAACAGAGGGGACACCAGGGCCACGTTGGTCTGGAGAGAAGAGAGCCACCAGATTAACAGAGGGGACACGTTGGTCTGGAGAGAGGAAAGCCACTAGATTAACAGAGGGGACACCTGGACCATGTTGGTCTGGAGAGAAGAGAGCCACTAGATTAACAGAGGGGACACCAGGACCATGTTGGTCTGGAGAGAAGAGAGCCACTAGATTAACAGAGGGGACACCAGGGCCACGTTGGTCTGGAGAGAAGAGAGCCACCAGATTAACAGAGGGGACACCAGGGCCACGTTGGTCTGGAGAGAAGAGAGCCACCAGATTAACAGAGGGGACACGTTGGTCTGGAGAGAAGAGAGACACCAGATTAACAGAGGGGACACCAGGACCATGTTGGTCTGGAGAGAAGAGAGCCACCAGATTAACAGAGGGGACACCAGGGCCACGTTGGTCTGGAGAGAAGAGAGCCACCAGATTAACAGAGGGGACACCAGGACCATGTTGGTATGGAGAGAAGAGAGCCACTAGATTAACAGAGGGGACACCAGGACCACGTTGGTCTGGAGAGAAGAGAGCCACCAGATTAACAGAGGGGACACCAGGACCATGTTGGTCTGGAGAGAAGAGAGCCACCAGATTAACAGAGGGGACACCAGGGCCACGTTGGTCTGGAGAGAAGAGAGCCACCAGATTAACAGAGGGGACACCTGGACCATGTTGGTCTGGAGAGAGGATATAAGGGTAATTCTACAGTAACGGAATTACATTGAGAGTCAAATGTTTCACTTTAAAACAAAAAACATTGATTTAAAAGATTAACAAATCATACAACTCTATGCACAACGGCTACTTCAAACAATTTATACAGTAAATACAAAAAATCGTACAAATTACAAGAAAAACTGTGCAGATGCAAAGTTTGGTAACAGAATTACAGTGAAATCTCCCTCAGTTAATTCCAAACCAAACTTTGTATCTGCACAGTTCTTAAATGTGTTTTGGGAAATTGTTAAAAGTAGTTTGTTCATCTTTGAAATCAATGGTTTTTATTTGGTATACCATGTTTCGTTACCATGGAATTGGGAGTTAATCTGAGGCATCCATACGTACATGCAGGTAGCATTTGAGCAGCGTGGTGTCGATGATCTGCAGAAGCTTCTTTCTACTCTTGATGGTGGGCGTTCCTTCCATGAGGGGAGAGGGGGTGGAGGGCTCCGAGTCGTTCAGCTGCTTCACCAGGTGGCTGCGTTTCTGGAATACATTTCATTGCATTTATGTAGCCAGGATAATCCATTCAGTAACACTTGCCACTGTTTTTCAGAGAGTCGTGGGTTCCATAGAATCAAAAAACCGCACATATCAATGTCATCTAATGGAAAAAATAAATGCATATGGATCTCCTACACACTGGCCTACACACTAGCCTACACGCTGGCCTACACGCTGGCCTACACGCTGGCCTACACGCTGGCCTACACGCTGGCCTACACGCTGGCCTACACGCTGGCCTACACGCTGGCCTACACGCTGGCCTACACACTATCCTACACACTAGCCTACACACTAGCCTACACACTAGCCTACACACTAGCCTACACACTGGCCTACACACTAGCCTACACACTGGCCTACACACTGGCCTACACACTAGCCTACACACTGGCCTACACACTGGCCTACACACTGGCCTACACACTGGCCTACACACTGGCCTACACACTGGCCTACACACTGGCCTACACACTGGCCTACACACTGGCCTACACACTGGCCTACACACTGGCCTACACACTGGCCTACACACTGGCCTACACACTAGCCTACACACTGGCCTACACACTGGCCTACACACTGGCCTACACACTAGCCTACACACTAGCCTACACACTAGCCTACACACTGGCCTACCCACTGGCCTACACACTGGCCTACACACTGGCCTACACACTGGCCTACACACTGGCCTACACACTAGCCTACACAACTGCCTACACACTGGCCTACACACTGGCCTACACACTGGCCTACACACTGGCCTACACACTGGCCTACACACTGGCCTACACACTGGCCTACACACTGGCCTACACACTGGCCTACACACTAGCCTACACACTAGCCTACACACTAGCCTACACACTGGCCTACACACTGGCCTACACACTGGCCTACACACTGGCCTACACACTGGCCTACACACTGGCCTACACACTGGCCTACACACTGGCCTACACACTGGCCTACACACTAGCCTACACACTGGCCTACACACTGGCCTACACACTGGCCTACACACTAGCCTACACACTAGCCTACACACTAGCCTACACACTAGCCTACACAACCCCCCCCCAGACCTGTGTCAGGTAGTCTATGAGTGCGAGATGTGCCTTCTCCAGTTCTGCTACAGACAGAGTCGGCAGGGGGTTGGGGTAGTGCAGCTGTTTCCGGTAGTCGGTGGGGAGCAGGTCCGGATACAGACCAATCACATGGGTGGGATCTGTGGGAGGAAGGTACAGCATTACTAAGACCCTCTATTCCCTGTACGGCGCACTGCTGTTGACCAGAGCCTTAAAATGAAACAGGTTACTGTAATTCTGAGATCACACTGCATCCAAAACGGCCCTCTATTCTCTAATGTAGTAGCAGAAGATTAACTTTAACGTCCCTGTATTAGACACACAGTACTGCTGTTTACATCATAGATAAGGCAGCAGATCAAAAGTAGTGCACTATATAGGGTGCCATTAGAGACCCAGCCAAAATCTGCAACGAGAGACATTGTTCAGGTAGTTAACGGACAGCCAGAAGCTCACCTGTGCCGAGTTTAGCGAACACCTGCATGGAGTCATCAAACCTCTTCTGACAGAAAAGAGTGAAGGTGTATAGATAGAGTTCTGGATGTGGTGAAACTGCTGTCTTTATCGCCTCCACATCCAACATTCATCTGTTGGGGGAGAGATTGGATGAGGAGGGGAGAGAGAGAGGGCGGAGGAGGAGAGATAGAGGGATGGAGGAGGGGAGAGATAGAGGGATGCAGGAGGGGAGAGATAGAGGGATGGAGGAGGGGAGAGATAGGGGGATGGAGGAGGGGAAGAGATAGTATGTCAGTGTGTGGTAGCAGTAGCAGTGTAGTAGTTTGACAGAGTAGCAGAGAGCGTATAGATCGTGTGTGTGTAGTATCGATTAGTATTTGTGACAGTAGAGTAGAGCGTAGTGTAGAGTAGAGTAGAGTGGTAGTGTGGTGTAAGTATAGTAGTGTGATAGTAGAGTAGTAGTGTGATGTAGTGTAGTAGATCAGTAGTAGTAGTAGCAGTAGTAGTAGTAGTAGTAGCAGCATTAGTAGTAGTAGTAGTAGTGAGTAGTAGTAGTAGTAGTCGATAGTAGATAGTGCAGCATAGTAAGAGGTGTAGTAGTAGTAGTAGTGATAGTAGTGAGTAGAGTGTAGTAGATGTAGTAGTAGTAGTAGAGTATAGTAGTAGTTAGTAGTAGCAATGGGGTAGTAGTAGTAGTAGGGTAGTGCAGCGTAGTAGAGTAGTAGTAGTATCCAGTATGTAGTGAGTAGCAGTAGTAGTAGTAGGTAGGTAGTAGCAGTAGTAGTAAGTAGTAGCAGTAGTAGGTATGTAGTAGAGTAGCAGTAGTGTAGTAGTAGTAGCAGCAGTAGTAGTAGAGCAGTAAGTAGTAGTAGTTACAGTAGCAGTAGAGTAGAGTAGGCAGTAAGAGTAGTAAGTGGTGAGGTAGTAGTAGTAGCAGTAGTAGTAGTAGCAGTAGTAGTGTAGAGTATAGTAGTAGTAGTGGGTAGTAGGTAGTAGCAGTAGCAGTAGTGGTAGTGTAGTAGTAGTAGCAGTAGTAGTAGTAGTCAGTAGTAGTAGTAAGTAGTAGTTAGTAGTAGCAGTTAGTAGTAGTAGTGTAGTAGTAGTAGTAGCAGTAGTAGTAGTAGGAGTAGTAGTGAGTAGTAGTAGTAGTAGCTAGTAGTAGTAGGTGTATGTAGTGTAGCAGTAGTAGTAGTAGTAGATGTAGTAGCGTAGTAGTAGTAGAGTAGTAGTAGTGTAGTAGTAGTAGCAGTAGTAGTAGTAGTAGTAGTAGTGATAGTAGTAGTAGTAGTGTATCAGTAGTCAGTAGAGTAGTTAGTTAGCAGTAGTAGTAGTGTAGTAGTAGTTTTAGTAGTAGTAGTACAGTATAGTTAGTAGCAGTAGTAGTAGTAGATGTAGTAGTAGTAGTAGTCAGTAGAGTAGTAGTGTAGTAAGTATAGTAGTAGTAGTCAGTAGTAGTAGTAGTAGCAGTAGTGTAGTGAGTAGCGTAGTAGTTAGTAGTAGAGTAGCAGTAACAGCAGTAGTAGCAGCAGTAGTAGTAGTAGCAGTAGTGATAGTAGTAGTAGTAGTAGTAGAAGTAGTGGTAGTAGTAGTAGTAGTAGTAGTAGTAGCAGTAACAGTAGTAGTAGTAGCAGCAGCAGTAGTAGTACTAGTGGTAGTAGTAGCAGTAGTAGTAGTAGTACTAGTGGTAGTAGTAGCAGTAGTAGTAGTAGTAGTTATCAGTAGTTATAGTAGTAGCTAGTAGTAAGTAGTATAGTAGTAGTAGTGATAGTAGTAGTAGTAGTAGCAGTACCAGCAGTAGTAGTATAGTAGTAGTAGTAGTAGTAGTATAGTAGTAGTAGTAGTAGTAGTAGTAGTAGTAGTAACAGTAGTAGTAACAGTAGTAGCAGTAGTGATGGCGTAATTACTCACCGCCAGTTGTAGGGCCAGTTCAAACTGCTTGTCCTGTAGTAACTGTGTAATCTGACTGGCGATGGACACAGGCACCAGACGCCACACAAAATGGTTGCTGGCAACGTACACTATATTAGGCCTGGGACAGACAGAGAGGAGAGGAGGGAACAACAAGAGAAGGGTGAGATTGTTTGTGTGTGATGGTTGACAAAAATGTTCTCTATCAGAAATATGGGATGGATCATCCAGCAAAGCAATGGAATAACGACAGTTGACCTGCGTAACAGTGGTTTCCATTAGAGTTGGTTGGATCCCTATGCATTCATCTCACTTCCCTCCTTCAGAAAACAGAGGTACGTATCCGGACAATAAATATCCTCTCACCCAGCGGAGGTGATGAATCGTGGTCTCTGCAGCTCCACACTCTGGACCAGCAGTCTGGGTTCAAAGGTCCTGATCTCCACATAGCGAGGCAGGACAGCTATGATGTATGGGGGCTGGTGTTCTGAGGAGAGAGAGAGAGAGGAGGACACAGGAACCTCAGCAACATTACATCACCTTGTGGCAGACTGATTAAATAAACACACTGGAGAAAGCATCCCTTCATAATAAAGCCATAATTGCATTTGCGATGTGCCATAGGATACAGTTGATCAGAGGTGTTTCTAGGATTTCCACACATGGGGAACATTTGTTAGCAGGGTCCGGATCTTTTTATTTTTCCTTTTAAAAAATACATTTCATGAAATACTACATCATTTACATGATAGAAGATATTAGCTGAATCTATTTTAATACACTAATGACCGAAATGAGTGGCTACTCTGACAAACTGAGATCAATCTGGTCTTGAATTCAAACAAACAATAGCCAGGCCAATGAAGAGACACACACGTTGTACAATATTAGGAGGTCATAGATCGATAGATAGATAGACATGGCTGCTCGGCTTCTAGCTCCTAAGCAACTTTGCAGTATTTTGTTTTTTTTGTGTGTTATTTCTTACATTATTAGCCCAGAATTTATTTTTGTGTTATTACATAAAGCCAAAAAAATAGGTATTCGGAGTGGACTTCTAGTCCGACTCAGGAGGCATGCACACCATCCACCGCTTCTGAGTACATTACTGGCTAATGTTCAGTCTCTGGACAATAAAGTAGACAAGCTCAGAGCGAAGATCTCCTTCCAGAGAGACATCAGGGACTGTAACATACTCTGTTTCACGGAATCATGGCTCTCTCTCGGGATATACTGTCCCCGTCCATGCAGCCAGCTGGGTTCTCAGTACATCGCGCAGACAGGAATAAATAACTCTCCGGGAAGAAGAAGGGTGGTGGTGTATGTTTCATGATTAACTACTCATGGTGTGATTGTGATAACATACAGAAACTCAAGTCCTTTAGTTCACCCGACCTAGACTACCTCACAATCAAATGCGGACCGTATTACCTCCCAACTTTTCATTTAGAACATTTTCTACTAACAAAACTCCACTTTAACATGATGGGGTATTGGGTGTAGTAGGCCATTGACACAACATCTCGATTTAATCCATTTTAAATTCAGGCAACAACAAAATGTGTAACAACTAAATGTGGAAAAAGTCAAGGGGTGTGAATACTTTCCGAAGGCACTGTATCAAAAACTTCAAAAGAGGGCCAGCCTACTTTCTGATACAGAATCAAATCAAATTGTATTCGTCACATGCGCCGAATACAACAGGTGTAGACCTTACCGTGAAATGCTTACTTACAAGCCCTTAACCAACAATGCAGTTAAGAAAATATGTATTAAATAAACTAAAGTAACACAATAAAATAACAATAATGAGGCTATATACAGGGGGTACCAGTACCGAGTCAATGTCAATGTGCAGGGGTACAGGTTAGTCGAGGTAGTTTGTACATGTAGGTAGGGGTAAAGTGACTATGCATAGATAATAAACAGCGAGTAGGGGGGGGGTTGTCAAAGCAAATAGTCCGGGTGGCCATTTGATTAATTGTTCAGCAGTTTTATGGCTTGGCGGTAGAAGCTGTTAAGGAGCCTTTTGGACCTAGACTTGGCGCTCTGGTACCGCTTGCCGTGCCGTAGCAGAGAGAACAGTCTATGACTTCGGTGACTGGAGTCTTTGACCATTTTTTGGTCCTCTGACATTGCCTAGTATAGGAGGTGTTGTGCACAAGATAATCCATCCACATGACAGGTGGCATATCAAAACGCTGATTAAACAGCATAATCATTACACAGGTGCACCTTGTGCTGGGGACAATAAAAAGGCCACTAAATAGTGTGGTTTTGTCACACAACACAATGCCACATATGTCTCAAGTTTTGAGGGAGCGTGCAATTGGCATGCTGACTGCAGGAATGTCCACCAGAGCTGTTGCCAGAGAATTGAATGTTCATTTCTCTACTATAAGCCGCCTTCAACGCCGTTTTAGAGAATTTGGCAGTACATACACCCGGCCTCACAACCACAGATCACGTGTAACCACGCCAGCCCAGGACCTCCATATCCGGCTTCTTCACCTGCGGGATCATCTGAGACCAGCCACCCGGACAGCTGATGAAACTGTGGTTTTGCACAACCAAAGAATTTCTGCACAAACTGTCAGAAACCGTCTCAGGGAAGCTCATCTTGACCTGACTGCAGTTTGCCGTTGTAACCGACTTCAGTGGGCATATGCTCACATTCGATGGCCACCGACATGCTGGAGAAGTGTGCTCTTCACGGATTAATCCCGGTTTCAACTGTACCGGGCTGATGGCACACAGCTTGTATGGCATTGTGTGGGCGAGCAGTTTGCAGATGTCAATGCTGTGAACAGAGTGCCCCATGGTGGCGGTGGGGTTATGGTATGGGCAGGCATAAACTAAACTACGGACAACGAACACAATTGCATTTTATCGATGGCAATTTGAATGCACAGTGATACCGTTACGAGATCCTGAGGCCCATTGTTGTGCCATTCATCCACCGCCATCGCCTCATGTTTCAGCATGATAATGCACGGTCCCATGTCGCAAGAATCTGTACACAATTCCTGGAAGCTGAAAATGTCCCAGTTCTTCCATGGCCTGCATACTCACCAGACATGTCACCCATTGAGCATGTTTGGGATGCTCTGGATCAACATGTACGACAGCATGTTCCAGTTCCCGCCAATATCCAGCAACTTCACACAGCCATTGAAGGGTAGCGGGACAACATTCCACAAGCCACAATCAACAGCCTAATCAAATCTATGCAAAGGACATGTGTCACACTGCATGAGGAAAATGGTGGTCACACCAGATACTGAATGGTTTTCTGATCCATGCTCCTACCTTTTTTTTTTAAAGGTATCTGTGACCAACAGATGTACATCTGTATTCCCAGTCATGTGGAAGCCATAGATTCCGGCCTAATTTATTTATTTCAATTGACTGATTTCCTTAAATGAACTGTAACTCGGTATAATCTTTGAAATTGTTGCATTTTATACTTTTGTTCAGTGTATAGAGACGATATCGCCATAGCCTATAAATCGATATTGACCGAATTATTTGTTTTCTGCTATTTAATGAAAAAGTACCTATTCCTTTAAAAGAAGCCCATTTTAAATTGTTAACTTCTTAAACCCTTAACATGCTTTTTGAAGGAAAGCCCATCATCAATCCAGATGTCCAGATATGTACTGTATAGGTGGGGAAACAATCAATGAGGGCACTATCCAATGTACATAAATCATCAGATACATTTTTATGCGATTTCGACACCATCTACACAGAAACAAGACCTACTAAAAGTGTTCACAAAACAACTTTGGGATCAGAAACGTGTCTCCTCAAGTCTTCCAGTTATTGAAGTTCATACAACAAGACTAAGTCTGGACAACATGAGGTGTCTGGCTGTGTGGAGACCGCGAGACCTGGAGGCTAGCAGGGCAGGGAGGAAATCCTACTGGCGCCAGCTATCTACAACCATAGAATGACATATTACAACTCACTCTACAGACCGGCCTGGGATGGGGCTGAGCTGAGGAGGAGGATGGGGTTAGAATGACTGAACCCAGGGGGAGATCCAAGGTCTTAGTAAGCATTAATAGCAAATATCAGACTGTACTCTCTCTGTGTGTGTGTGTGTGTGTGTGTGTGTGTGTGTGTGTTGTGTGTGTGTGTGTGTGTGTGTGTGTGTGTGTGGATATAGAGGAGTGTGGATATAGAGGAGTGGATATAGAGGAGTGTGGATATAGAGGTGTGTGGATATAGAGGTGTGTGGATATAGAGGAGTGTGGATATAGAGGTGTGTGGATATAGAGGTGTGTGGATATAGAGGCGTGTGGATATAGAGGAGTGTGGATATAGAGGTGTGGATATAGAGGTGTGTGGATATAGAGGAGTGGATATAGAGGTGTGTGGATATAGAGGAGTGTGGATATAGAGGAGTGTGGATATAGTGGAGTGTGGATATAGAGGAGTGTGGATATAGAGGAGTGTGGATATAGAGGAGTGGATATAGAGGAGTGTGGATATAGAGGAGTGTGGATATAGAGGAGTGTGGATATAGAGGAGTGGATATAGAGGAGTGGATATAGAGGAGTGTGGATATAGAGGAGTGTGGATATAGAGGAATGGATATAGAGGTGTGTGGATATAGAGGTGTGTGGATATAGAAGAGTGTGGATATAGAGGAGTGTGGATATAGAGGAGTGTGGATATAGAGGTGTGTGGATATAGAAGAGTGTGGATATAGAGGTGTGTGGATATAGAGGTGTGTGGATATAGAGGAGTGTGGATATAGAGGTGTGGATATAGAGGAGTGTGGATAGAGAGGTGTGTGGATATAGAGGAGTGTGGATATAGAGGTGTGTGGATATAGAGGTGTGTGGATATAGAGGTGTGTGGATATAGAGGAGTGTGGATATAGAGGAGTGTGGATATAGAGGAGTGGATATAGAGGAGTGTGGATATAGAGGTGTGGATATAGAGGTGTGTGGATATAGAGGAGTGTGGATATAGAGGTGTGTGGATATAGAGGAGTGTGGATATAGAGGTGTGTGGATATAGAGGTATGTGGATATAACGCTTGGCCGATTCTCTTCCTGTCCTGCCAAAACCACACGGTCAGTCGGCTCAATGTAAATGAGGAAATTGCTGTTTGAATTGAAACCTTAGTAGCTTCGAACTTCATTTCCCCTTTCAGACCGTTACTTCTGCATTACAATGAGATACAGACAGAAGACAAAAGAGCCTTTAAAATACAAAGTCACTTCATTTCCATCTTCTTTGTCTCTCAGGTCTTTAGAAAAGCGGACAGGCTCAGGCCAAAATAGACAGCTCCACATTGTGTTCCCCAGCTTGCCTGTATTCAAACTGACAACACAGCACGTGCTGGGTTGTGTTGTCCTCCGTAGCTCAGTTGATCGAGTATGGCGCTTGCAATGGCAGGATAGTGGGTTCGATTCCCGGGAAGACCCATATGTAAAATGTACGCACGGATGACTGTAAGTCGGATAAAAGC